GTCACTGATGGAAGAGAGAGACATTTCAAGTGGTAATGATGACACTGGACCATATATAATAAGGACCAGTTCCAGGAACAGAAACACAAAGAGCTACCTTATTCCAGATCAGGCTGCCATTAGTCCATCCAGCTTAGTAAAGAACAGTAGCTCTCTAGAGTCTTAGATCTTTTTCTGTGTCTAGGTAAGCACCATACATTTAAAGCACACCCCCCCCCCAAAAAAATAAAAATCATGGGAACTGAAGTTTACCCCTCACAGAGCTACAATTATCAGCACCCTTAACAAACTACAGTCCCCAGGATTCTTTAGTGGGCGATATGCTTTAAATGTGTTGTGTGTACACAAACTCAGACAGAGATCTTTCTTACTGCCTCCTATCTGATTCTCCTAACTGGAGATTGTAGGTTATAAAAAGCTTGGACATGTAAAACCTGTGTGGATGTATCTTAGCATGTAGTCTGCGACCAGGTTCATTTGCAGTGTGCATGGCACACCTCAGTTTTATCCTATGTGTTTGCAGGGCTGCTCCAGTGCACTCCTTCTGCTGATATCTGAAGCTGCCAACACTAGCCACAATCCATAGGTATCCTGCAGTTTCTTGAGAAAGCTTACTTTTGAATGTGCATCCCCTCAAAGCAGTTACCATTCAGTTTGAAAATGCAAGTTGAGGTGTGCATGTCTGAAACATCCATTGAGCATGTGCAGATGAGAGCTGCATTGAAGAGGAGTTTGGAGGGAATGTTGCAGGGATGGGAGAACAGCCATGTAAAAATGTGACTTGAAAACGGGCAGGCGAGGGGGGGGAGAGAGAGAGAGAGAGAGAGAGAGACCTCACAACGTTTCAAGCTGCCAATGTGTACCTAACCACAGTTTGTTTCTAGGTTACATAAGGTTGATCTGTATTAGCCTAGTATTAAATTGCCCCAAAGCAGTGTCTTTTAAGAACGTTCATTGCAATTAATTTTACATGCCGCATAATGACTGTTGGGAGGGATAGGTCACATGTAACCAGAAATACAGGAGGATGAGCTTTTCCTATGTCCTCTTTAAAAAGATGCTCTGTCTGTGAAAAAAGCACCTTGTCTCTACCAGCTGGTCAATGCCAGGAATCCATAGGCCGGTGCTCTGTCCCAGGATGGTGCTGCTGCTGTTCTGCCCTTCCACTCTGGCTCTTTGCTAGGCCTACACACTTAGGCTTGTGCCACTTCCTTGCCTCCCCCCATTCCCACCACCACCACTTGAAATCACTGGGAACTACTCATCAGTGATCTGTGCTTTCTGAATTGCAGCCTTCATCTCATTCCAGGGGCTCAGCAGCAAAGGAGGAAGGGATGGCAATGCAACCAATCTCTCTTTGCCGCAGCACTTTGAAATATACACACTGTTAGCCGGGTGGACAGGTGAGGGGCAGTTACATAAATCTAGAGGCTGCTATTGTCAGAAGTAACGGATTGCCAGGGAAAGTCGTAATAGAGACTGTATTTAATCTGTGACCAATTGATTGCTCCAGTGTTTCAGGTATTTGTAGTGTAGGTTTAGATTTGTTGGGTGGTTTTACAGAAAGCCTCTGGGGTGTGCTGTCTTATCTTTTCCCCCCTAAATTGCTGCCTTTGACAGTATCATCCCTTTTGGGGGGTGGGGGGGTGGAATAGAAGAAACTTGGCCGTAAATCACTGTACTAATCAGCTGTCACCAGCCAACATGCATACATTGGCATTCAGCCGGCAAAATTTGTTTTGGAGAGGCCTTTAGCAACAGAAACCATGTTTGTATCAATAACCATCTGTTAGCTTTTCCTGCATAAGTATGTACAACACAGAAAGGAACAAGGCAAAAAGACGGAAAGGGAGAGAACTGGGAAGGGGGAGAGAAGAGAGAGAGAGTATTAATTACCTGTTTTAGGGGGGTGGAAACCTCTAAAAAGGTATACATTAAGTGCCCAGAGCTTGAATTCTTTACGAAATAAAGCTGCAGTGTGCTCATTTTCGCTTCCTAGACAGTCCCACCGGCTGATGTCAAAGGGGATTTATGAGAAAATGTATTTAGGTAGGGAGCTAGCCAATGCATGCTTCAAGAGCTTCTGTGATTTCTCCCTCCCCCCCCCCCCCCGCCGCCTCCAATGGGGCATTCAAGGAAGATTAACCCAAGAATTTGGATCGGATGGAACGCTCGGCAGAACGTCTAAGTGGAACGTTCGGGGAGAGAAAGTAAAATCGCTCTACGTGCAGGTTTACTGGGAAGAAAGGCCCGCTGTGCTCAGCCAGACGGACTCCCTTACTCTGTTTAGGATGGCAGCCTTAGAAATGGGGTTCCCCAGTTCTCTATCTCTGAAATCCGCTCGTTCTAATAAACAGGGACGAGAGAGGGAGATTAAAATTGGCCAGGGGACTGCTTTCTCTGCAGCAGTCTAGACCCGAGGTGTAATTTAAGCACGGTGCGCCTCCTCTTCTCTCGGTTAATTTTCCTTCCTCGCATGACTGCGTGCTTCTGGAAATAACTTGGCAAACGGGGAGCCGTTTATCTATTTTATCACGGGACCTGATCCAATTAAATAAGTGCACATTAAAATTTGTATCCATCAAGACAAGAACGAAGAAGGGGAAAGGCGGCGGCAGCGGCGCTAGGGTGTTTGTGCAAACAAATGTCCCTGGCCAAAAAAAGGAAAAATAAATAGCCCCATAACTTCTAATAACCCTGCTCGGTTCTGTTTCTCTTTTACTCGGTGGATCTACCAAGAAAGTCAGGGCGGTTGGGGGACAAAAGACCTACCTAAAAAAGTTTTTGGTTTGCAATATGTGGGTGTGTTTTCTTTTTTTTGGGGGGGAGAGGTGTTATGGGGCACGAAATATCAAAACTCTTTGCAAGCGAATAAATCAACAGCCGAGAATGCCTTCCTTAGCAGCCCACGTCTGAGTCCCGGATCCCAGCTTCTGAATACAAGCTGGAACACGAAACTAATTATAACAGTTGAGTAAGTGGGTGGCTGGAACGGGGAGGCGTTTCTGTTACAAGTACCACTTTTATTAGAGGAGGGCTGCGCTTTAGCACCGGGGTTAGTCACAGTTCAAGAACAGCTTTGCAAACAGCAGAAAAAGACGTGCATCGTTCTTTTGGGGTGTTCGTGGAGGGCACTGCTCGGCTCCCCCTTCCTTAACTTGAGTTTAATCATTGTTCAGGTTCTTCAGATCCCTTGCTCAGAACCATTGCGGTCCCATAGACTGTAAAAAGAGGTTTCGACCATCGTCCCAGAACCAGAAAGTCGCCACATTCCATACTGTAGGTGAGCACACAGGAACGACAACTGCGGGCCTTTATTCAACCCACAATGAATAAAGTTACGATTTGAGTATATTGAGTGGCATGTGGGGGGCGGGGTTGGGGGGAGGCGTTAGAACCATGCGTGAAACGATCTACCGGGTGTATATCCCTTTTTCTTCCGTGAATTCAGGCGGGATCTCAGCAGTAAAGAAGAAGAGCGCAGCAGCGCGATCCTGTTCTTAAATACTGTAATAGCTGGCGTGATGAACCCGCATAGCTAGGGCGGCCAGGCACTTCAGACTCGGCTTCAAGTTCCATGGATGTGAGAGAGGCTTACTTTCACGAAAGTGGGTATTGGATTCAGGGCCGGGCTGACGCGGAACAACAAATGACCCCTCTCCAAGCATGCGTGCGCGCGCGCGCGCACACGCACACATGCACATCCACCACCCACCAAGGGGCTGAGCATTATATCCAACAAAATTATACTCAGCGCTTACCCATTGAAAATAATGGTCACGACCAACTTAGGTCCATTCATTTCAGTGAGTGTAGCTTATATACAATTCACCCTGCCTAATAGTCGCGAGGGGTGGGGTGGGGAATCCTACGTTTCATTGGCAATGAAAATGAAGCTACACTAACTTAAATAAGGCCTGCAGAAAACCATACAGGGCTTTCGACGTTTCCTTGGGAGTTAAAAAAAAAGATATTTTTAATGAAAAAACAATAATAAATTAAATAATTAACTAACTGCTTGCCCTTTCATGACACTCAGTATCAGCTGCCGGAGACAGATGCCTCACTCTGCCTAATATTAGAGCTGGAACTGAAATATTGTAGTTTTGATATAAATAAATAATAGTGTGTTTTTTATTATAATAAAAAGCAGAGTCTGAAATAAGCAACAGGTGTACAAGCAGGAAGCCACCATATTCTTCCACCCATTTCCCCTTCCTCAGTATTTATGGAGGGCTGCCAGGAGCGCCGAGACTGATACTTAACCTCCTCAAAATGCACTTGCTTTGAAGCGAGGTCGACTGATGTCGTCGGAGCTGGTGCCTGAGTGTATGTAAGAAGCCTGCGGTTTCTAGTTGGGTGGGGCTTGTCTTCACAGAAACCGAGAGGATATTATGACATCCTCGCTTTTGTGATTTTATTTTAGGGATGCGTACGACGCCCTTCACTATTAAACAAGTTCCTGGGGTGGCTTACGATAAAGTGATTTAATCATATGGAATACTGTATATTTTCTGTTGATATGGCGTGCGTGAGTGGCACCCGGGAGCCCGTCCTATTGAGCTAGGTGAGACCTACTTCCGAATTAACATTCGTAGGGAGGTGTGATGCCACTGTGGGGGGGGGGTGACAATCCGTCCTATATAAACCAGGGGAAATGGCAGTACTTGGATTTTTAACAAGGGCTTTTAAATCAGACAGAGGCGTCTGGTTGTCTAAACTGTGGGTTTATGCTGGGGGAGAGGACTTTTCACCAATCCTCAGTGCATGGGCGTGGCCAGGCTTCATGTTAGGGGGAAAGGCTTTCTGTTAGAGGGGCAGATCCTCAGTAGGTTAAGCATTTTTATTGATTTACCTGGTATGGTAAATCGGCCCCCTGCCCCCCCCCCCCCTTGGCTACGCGCATGCTTCAATGATAATTGTGTTGCAGTGATGCAATGTTGGACATGTTAGACAGAGAATGAGTTAATTCGTCGAATTAAATTGTTTTAAAAAGCCAAAATAATAGAGGATCTTTAAAGTATTTAATCAAAGTGTACAGCCCTCCTTATTGCCACAATGTAGACTTTGCATTGAAGGTAAACCTCTCAGGAATTGAAGTACAGTAAATTGGGGGTCCTCTGCTTAGGTCTAGCTCTTGGCTTCTTAGAGACACACACACAATAATAATAATAATAATAATCACCAACATTGTTTGTCTGATCTTGAATTAGTTAGCTTGTCTAATTTGCCAGTTCTGTGCCGAGGCGAGGGAATGCATTCAGGGAAAGAAAGAAATAGCAAAATAATGATCATTGAGAAAGTGGGCTCTCCGCCGTTTCACTTCATGATGCCTTGTTCTGCGCTCTCCTCTTTTCAATCAGCTTTAGCGGGCGGAGTGGGTGGGTACTGTATTTCTGTGGTATCTCTGCAGGGCCTGGGGTCGGGGTGTTCAGTGTCCCTGGTTGCAGAGAAGCATGGGGAGGATCTGCCCTCAAGGCGCGCGTTCCTGTTGCTTCTCTGCATGAACAACAAAGAGACAATCTTGGGGCGCTCGAAAGCATAAGGATGAGTCAAATGCTGCTTGTTATTTTAAAGGAGTCTTAAAGGAAACCTTGTTGATTGTAAATACTTTTAAATCACAGAGTTGGGGTGGAGGGAGAACCGCGTGTCGCCTCTTTCAGAACCCTGTGTTAGACTGTCAAATGCAAAACTTATTAATAGACGGTATCTGGCTGGAGGTGAAGATTGTATCACCACGGTGCGGTGTGTCTCTCCCTCCTCAAACCTCTCTGCCCCGCCTCCAGTTGCCCAACAGCTGCAGGAATCATATGCCGATTCTTCTGTCCCAAGAGTTTGCTCTGAGGGGCATGTGGGTTTCTTGGTTTATTTAAAAGCTTAGCTACTGGAGTTATTTAAGGAAAGGCTATAATTGACCACCTATTTTACTCCGCTCGCTATCTATGGCGCTGTCAAAAGAGAGGAGGAGGCATTTTTGATGCCGTGCCCTTGGACACGTGGGTAAGTTTGTCTTAGGAGTGCAACCCTGTGATCTGAACTATGGGGGGGGGGACCCTAGCCTTATTTACTCAGACGTTCGCCCCAGTCTGTTTAACGGGACTTAATTCCAGGAAAGTTTGCACAGGATCTCAGCCTTAAGTTTGTTCTCCACTCTAAGGCTGAAATCAAGAGGGTCTTATTTAATAGGGAAACATGGCCTCTGGTTTCCAGAGGAATGACTTCGGCTCACTTCCCAATGAACCAAACTTGGAGGTCTCAAACTGCCCTCGCTGCACTTTTCACGACAGCTGCTTATAGACTGTAAGCTCCGTGCGGACAGGGACCTGCTGCTTATTTGTCGCGAAGCATCCCGTGCACTGATATGTTACCAGGGAGAGGAGTTGCTCGACAGAAGGAGAAGGAGCCCTAATTTGGCATCCTGGTGGCTATCGCCTTTCTAGGGATCCTTTTCTCTTTTAGCTATCAGTATATTGCCAGAGAGACATCAGGCTTATATTGGAAAACAGAATTGCCATCTTGGCAAGTTTATAATTTTCTCAGTCTCTCCTCTCCTTTACAGTGATTGGCCTTCCTTGCAGGGTTGTCGCAAGGGCTGCGGAGAACACCTATGCAGAATGTTTTGAAGCACCCCATAGCTACAATCCTATATATACATAACACACATCTACTTGGGAGGGAGGTCCGTTGAATACAGCGGCATTCACTCCCGAGACCTATACAGGATTCATTTGCAAGTCGCTATAAATAGAGAGAGCTAAAGGAAAGTTTGGCTTTGGCTGGATCGTGTCCTAAATATTATTTTTCTCATCAAAATACACGCTTAGGCTCAGTAAATCGCTACAACTGCTTTGTGGATAGGGCTATACAGCTCTCTTTCAGCTGTGTCCACCAACCCAGAGCGCCTGCTAGAGCAAGCATCTAGAACTCAAAGATACCGTATAGATAGCTAACAAAAGAAATCTCCCAAATCCACGGTTGGCCAAAACCTTATTAAGACCAATAAAAGAGTCACAAAATTGTGGCAAGCTTCCGCGTTCTCCAAGTATCATCGCTAGGCAAGATGTTACACAAAATGTCTCAAAAGAGTAACCTCCTGCAGATGGCGGAAACTTGCGACTTCTTTTGTGTCCATGCGTTAGCTTAGCGAGAAAGTTGTTCCACAACTCAAGGTTTTGAATTCGTTTGCTGTAGGTTCCCGCAAAGGAGTGCGTTTAAGGTTGCAGCCTTAAGAGCTCAATGGCAATTCTTGGTAATCTACGACCCCTATAGATGGTTGTTTTGCAAATGACAACCCAGCTGTTTCCCGGCCAGCTCCCCTTCTTTCTCTCTGAGTAAGGCCGCGGCTTTCTCTTGAGAGCAGCTACGCACTAAAAGTCCGTTTCTTTCCCATCAGAAAGACTGGCCTTCTTGTCAGGGACCCGATCCAGTTCAATCTCATTCATTTTCCCGAGGGGCGTGGGGAGAGGCTTAAGTACCACTCTGCAACTGAAATACCTGTGTTTTATCAACCTGTGATAGCACTTCACTTACTTGTTATGCACGGTGCCCATAATTATTAAGGGCAGGAGAGAAAATTCTATCTGGTTAATTTGACTTATTTTAACATCCCATATATGCGCGCGCACACACACACACACACAGAGAGAGAGAGAGACGCGCGGGGGGAAGGCATGTTAAAATAAATCATATTAACTCGATATAATTGTCCATATATATGTCTCTGTGTGAAAATGTATGTGTGGTTAACATACGAAGTCTCCCTACACTGCTACAAGCTTTCTTTCTTTCTTTCTTTCTTTCTTTCTTTCTTTCTTTCTTTCTTTCTTTTTTTTCTTTCTTTTTTCTTTCCAAACCGATCGTTCTTTGGTTTTCACCAATCTCCCCCTCCCCGCATCTTGTAGAGGTAAGGAGGCTGCAGGAATGCGAGTCTACAATCAGCCATCTGTCAGTTACAAGTGGCTTTTTCTTTTTTTGGTCGTGAGGAGAGGGCCGAACGCTAGGATACGCTTTCGTGGCGATGGGGGGCGGGTGGGGGGGGGAGAGAATGGAGGAGGGGAAAGCAGCAGCCTGCCCGCAGACTTTCCCTTCGTCCTGCGGGTCTGTCTCCGAACAACTCCACTCCAAAGGAAACAGCTGGGCTGCATTGCTCGCACCCAAAATTAATTAAGAGCTCCGTTCGTGGGGATTTGATGATTCAATAAAAACCCAGACTCTCATATTCTCCTCTGTGGCTGCAATGATCCACTTCACTTTCTCTCTCTCTCTTTAACTGGGGGGAGATATATGTCCCTAGATAGGACGGACCGGCCTCTTCCCCTCCCCACGAGCGAAGAGGGGAGGGTGTTTCCAGATTGTCTCTAATGCTCACACTAATTCAAAATTGCCACTTGTTTGCAAGGTTCGGGGAGGGAGGGACGCTCCCTCTCCCTTTTCAAAATGATCGTGATGAGGAACTAGAAAGTGGCGGTGGGGGGATTGCCAGTGCTGTCAAGAATTAACGTATTGGTCGTTTGGAAAAGCAGCTGGTTTGGGGGTTTTTTTTGGGGGGGGGGAGGCGGAGGGGTCTGTGTGTGAGACGGTCTAGCGCCTTGCCAAGTCCAGATGGCCTAATACTCTAAGCAGGTCACGTCAAAAAAAGGAGCGGGGAGGAGGGGGAGAGAAGTGGTTGGTTAGGGGAGGTCATGGCTATCGCTTTACACGTCGTGAGCCGAATTCGATTCGGCTCTAGGGACCCCAGGTTTTGACGGGCGAGAGTAAGGCTGAGCGGGGGGTGGGGGAGTTTCTCTCGCGGTTAGTTAATTCGAAGCAAAAGAATGTCTGGCTGCAGCCTGTGCAACAAAAACCACAATTAACAACAACGCCCACTTGTTTTGTTAATTTCTTTAAAAGCAAACAAAACTTTGCTCCCTCTCCAGCGATTTCAGTTTGCAGGCCCCGTCTCAAGCGAGAAGAGGACTTTCCCGAGTTTTTGAAGCGTCTCACAGCCTAGAAGGCTCCGGGTGGAATAGAAACTCTACCTCGTTTAACACAAGGGAGACTTTTTTTGGGGGGGGGCAGGGGACTCACTTTAGTTGCCCAGCGACTTCCGAGGATGGAAAGCTGCGTCCCAGATTATTTAATTTCTCCTCTCCCTACGCCCAGGAGCGTTTGACTTCAGTGCAAATAAAGACAGTGTCAGAACCCCTTTCAGTGAATCCGAACCTACCAGTCTACAAGCAAGAATATTTAACGCGCATTCACGCTACGGATATCTTAACGCAGGTTAAACTCGCTGATTGCAAGGATAATCCACTAATAAAGACCAGAGCATTTTATTTCGGATATGTTCACCTGGAATGACCACCACTAACAAGAGAGGCATTAGGACAGTCCTTCCACTCAGAGTCATGCAATGGGGAAACGGATCCTTTTGCCAAACACGGGGATTTGAAGAAAGAAAACGCCTTTAAAAATAAGTGCGGTTCATTTGTCCCCCGGAAATCGCCTGAGCCATATTTCATATGCATCGACTCAAGTCTTTGGGTTGCCTGTTGAGGAGGGGGGCGTTTCTGGGTGGCTGTCTTCATGGGTGTAGCCAAGAGGGGCAGGGAGAGACAGCTGCCCCCCCTAAATCAATAAAAATACATAGCAAACTGAGGTTCTGCCCCCTACGAAAAAACCCTGGCTACGCCCATGGCTGTCTTACCACAAGTTCTTAAAATCATCTCCCTCTTTTGACGCAGTTGGATTTAATATCTCTTTCAATCATCTAGAACATGCTTCCTCAACCTCGGCCCTCCAGATGTTTTTGGTCTACAACTCCCAAGATCCCTAGCTAGCAGGACCAGTGGTCAGGGATGCTGGGAATTGTAGTCTCAAAACATCTGGAGGGCCGAGGTTGAGGAAGCCTGGTCTAGAAGACGTTTTGTATTAGTATGTCACAAACACACCATACACTCAAAGAATAATTATATACCACTTTAAGAGACATGCTGCCCCCACAAAGACTCTTGGGAACTGTGGTCTGCTAAGAGTCGCCTATCTACTCTCTAAGAAACTACAATGTTCCCGGGATTCTCTGGGAAGTGGCGAGTGGGGAATCTGGTTTGAGTCCAAATACCTGGGCTTTGGATTAGCCGAATTGTCTGTGGATCGGGTTCAAAGTGGACGCTTTTAATTTCAGCACCTTCCAATCAATGAGCCCAGGCCGGTTCAGCGGATGAAACAGATTTCGGGGTCCGCTCAGCTCCAATGCTCTCCTTAATTCTCTCTGCACCAGGTCTATCTAGCTAGCTAGCTAGCTAGCTATCGGTTCCTCCTTTAGGATTTCTCAGGCCAAGTAATGGATCTGAAAACTGTTCCAACTGGAGTCGAGGTTGGATTGGCACCCTCCTTGGGAGCAAGCCCGTTGAACCCAGACGGATTTACTTCTGAATAAAGCTGCATAAGATTACCTGGCACGTTCCCCACCGCTCCCCTTCTCTCAGATCTCTGCTGGCTCCCACTTAAAGGGTTGTTCAAGCCTACACCCACTTACCTGGTAGGAGTAGTAAACTCCAAAGTGCTAGTTTACAATCCTTAGGTTAGTTCTGAGTAAACACACATCGGATCTAGGCTACAAAAAGGGTTCCAGGCTGGCTGGATAGTGCTCTTTTACATTGTTGATTCCTGGGCGGGGTGTGTGTGACTTTATTCGAGTTCGCTGCTTTCGTGTGATCAAGATGATGATGATTATTAATAATAATAAGTGAACAAAAATCGTCCTCCTTTTTGGAGGCTGGAAGAGAGAAGTTTCCCCCGTAAACCTGATTAGTTTAATTTATTATATGAGTATTATATATCCTTAGTACATGTGGTATTCCACCTCCCCACTTCTTCCTTTTTTTCCCCAGAAGAGGACCAAGTCGGAGGAGTGTTTGAGCATAAGATGTGCCAAAGAGGGCAAGAGATAATTGGTGGCAAGGGCTTGCCCATCAGAAGGTCAGCGGTTCGAATCCCTGCGAAGGGGTGAGCTCCAGTTGTTCGGTCCCTGCTCCTGCCCACCTAGCAGTTCGAAAGCACACCAATGCAAGTAGATAATTAGGTACCACTCCGGCGGGAAGGTAAAAGGCATTTCTGTGCGCTGCTCTGGTTCGCCAGAAGTGGCTTATCATGCTAGCCACATGACCTGGAAGCTGAACACCGCTCCCTCGGCCAGTAAAGTGAGATGAGCGCCACAACCCCAGAGCTGTCTGCGACTGGACCTAACAGTCAGGGGTCCCGTTACCTTTTTAGATACCAAAAAAGCTACCAACAGCGCAGGACCGGAACTAGCAGGACGGACGTCTGTCTGCTGCTGCGCGAGAAGCGAGTGCGCACTGGTTTCTTTAAATTGGGAGAAATCAATAAACGCCATTAGAACCAAACAGTTGAAATAATTTCCCTGCCCAATGGGCATCCTGGCTTTTCATAAAATCCATGCAGTGCTGTGTTGCGATTTTTTTCCTGCCTTCCTGCTCCCCGCGCCCTAAACCAGCGTTTCTAGTCCTCATGACCAAAGTTTTCTACTTTGCTAAATGTAGTCCACCGTTGCAGGATGGAGAAGATACACGAATCTGTATTTGTGGCAGCCCTTCTTCACTCCTGCATAGACAACCCAATCCTTGACGCGGTTTCTACTAACGGAACACTAGTTACACCGCAGCTCACTTGGAGCCTATTGGCCTATTTTATTTGCTAGGCATCTGCCACTCTCAAAAGATGTTCACCTCGCAAAGGACTTTGCTGTCTTTATTGTGCTTGTCCTCACAACAGCCCTGTGAGGTAGGCCACTCATGAAGATTATGAATGTGAGAGCACAACACATTGACCAAGGCCACAGGATGTCGCTCCCAGAGCTAAGTCCACAAACTATCACTCCTGTTGCCTGTTTGGAAGAAACAGGCAAGATCAAGGTCACCACAGCCCAATTTAGGTGTAAAGATTCCCCTTTGCCTTTGTCGCTTAAGCCTTGCAGTTTATTAGCGAGAAATCTCTTGGGTTTTTTGCTTTGGAGATGCCCAAGTTTTTCCCCTACCGCATGGGTTTCACGAGTTCAACAGCCGTCTTCCTCCGAAACCAGTTCGGATTAGTCTAATCAAACTTCAGGGGAGCTAAAGCGAAGTAAATATCCACTAACTCCTGTATGGTGCCTGGCTCCTTGCTGGATTAAAACCGGTGTCAGTCCGTAGGAGGGAATCAGAAAGTCTCCTGAGCTTCACTCAGAAGAAATCCCGTTGCAATCCGTGTGATTTAAATGCAAAAGAAACCGATTTGAGTTTAGTTACCCAAGCCCCCTAGAATATCTCCCTCCATCCCCCCCCCAACTCAGTCTTTGTGGATATCTTTGGCATTGGGGAAACAGCTGTTTTGGGAGCTGGTTGCACAAAAGCTAATATATACTCTCTTTTTTGGAGCAGGGATTTCTCTCCTCTTTCCCCCTTTCTTGCACGAGCATGACAAACTCTCCCTGTTTTCCCCTCAACCCTGAAAGCAGCGTGTGAATAAAACAATTTGGAGGCTACGGAACCATCTTTTATTCATACTGCCTTTAAACAAGAGTGGAAAATATATTCCCACCAGCCCTCGGGCCACCGGAGCCAGAGAGCGGATGATCTTCGAAGCCAGCAGCATCCTTTATCCTCATTGGGAAAGTGTGCCTAGAAACTGGCGTGAAATCGGTTTCAATCCGAATCCTCCGAATCCGAATGACCCTTCGTTTTCACCATAGCGTTTCAAGGACTGCACGCAAAGGAAAACTATATCCCATATTCGTCACCACACACACTCCAAAGTAAAGCGAAGTAGAATTCGAATCAATGTAGTCACAATGAAACATCGGGGGAAGCCTCCGGAAGGACAGTAATATGCAATCACTAAAAGCGGGGAGCGCTCTCTGGTGATCATTTTAAATTCGGGTCCAGCTCTGGAACCGGGTGTGCGTGGGAACTCGGATGTTCACCTTTCGGAACTCAAGCCGGAGTCAGCATCTGAGTGGAGAAGATTTAAGGGGTAAAGGGGGACCCTCATCCCCTGACACGTGTGCGCATGTGTATATGCCCAAGCTCCCTTTCCCCTTCCCCAAAATCTCTTTTATAATACCACTTCAGTCAGAACATCCAATTCCCCATATTCGCAGACCATTCGAAGCAAATCAATGGGTTTAGGCAAGGTTTGAAAGCGTAAGGGCTTGGAAGAGAGAGCTCTCACTCTGTCACCGCAGATCTGTGGAGATGGTTCTTGTGGGTGTTTACTCGTAAAAAAAGTCTTACTGAGAGCAGTTGGACTTGTGCCTAACCAGGGTGTGGCGAAGTGGACAAAGAAAGTTTGGGGTGTGGAAGGGGACTTAGGTATGGGTCAATTCTCGTCTCATACCTGTGAAGCTCACTTGACCCTATTTCGAGTCTCCTTCTCTAACTTACCTTGCAGGCCTATAGTGAAGATAAAATGCGGAGTGGGAGGGAGACGGACTCTGCGGGATTCTTTTATTAATTATTAAATAATAAATACTGCCTAGAATTGCATCTTTACGCAACTCTACCCTGTCCAGGTTTTCCTACCGCTTTAAAGGAGGTATCTTTCTGAATAAGTGTACACAGGATCGCAGCCTTTAAAAAATAGTAACAATCGCGTTATTTACTTATGTTTTATATATAATAATAAGTACTCGAGGGCCCTAAAAAAAATCGGTTTGTACTGCCCAATCCTATCTGCATTTTACTCGGAAATATATCCCACCAAGTCCAGTGGGGTTTACTCCAAGGTAAAGTACACAAAGGACTGAAGGTCTGGACTGCAATCCCGGGCACACTTCCCTAGGCACGGGTCCATTTGAACTTGGTGGGACTTACTTCTGAGCCGACACGCATAGGATTGCATTGTTAAGGGCGTTTTGCAAAGCGCAAACTGAATCTGACATCAAGAGGAGTTTAAAAATCCCTTTGGATTAGTTTTCCTTGTTACGGCTCTGTTCGTTGCAGGTGGTTTAAATGATCATAAACTCCGAGGGAATGTCAGACAATAGAGCCCTATTCTTGGTAGGGAAGTTTCTTCCTCCCTTTAAAAGATGGGGCGCGGCAGGTGGGGGAGAGAACCACTTTCCTATTTTTACCTTTTCATCACCAATTAAGCCTCCACTCCCTTTGAATCCGGAGGGTTAGGTTAGTCTTTATAGAGTAAATCTGCTCTTCTTGGGCAGCACCTCTTTAAACGAGCCCCTCAGGAGTCCCAGAGAGGGTCACTTAAAGCAGAGCAGTTGCATTTACATGGTAGTGTGCTCCTCTGCCTTCTGCGCGTTTCCTTGAAATAGTTGTTTTATATTTTATTTTTAACAGTTTGGAAACCGCTTCCGAATACGTTCTTAGGGCCAACCCGCCTCCCGCTTCTCCCATTCAGGAAGGAAGCACTCGTTAATCTGCAATTCACGTCCATGCAAACATACACGGGGTCAGACACACGTAGAAATATTTCGGTTAAACTGGTTTGCTGGGAGTATGACCCTCTAGATATTGTTAGACTACAGTTCCGGTCATCCCTGACCTTTGGACCGGTTGGCTGAGGCTGATGGGAATTGGAGGAGGGAGGATATGAGGAAGGGGCACATGGGTCTACCACCCCTTGTTCCAAGCTCATCTTTGTGGAAGTTTATGCAGACACTGAAATCAAGTCCTGGTGGGAACCTTCCTTTCAGTACTGACTCGGTCCTGGGAGGCATGGTGTCCCTGAGCATGTGCAAAGGGTTCTTTCCTTCTGCTGGGGGGGGGGGAAGCCCGCATCTGGGATGGAGGGTGAGTTTGGAAACAGGCTTTTGATGGGGAGTTTCATCGCTCTCTCTTTGGAAATGATCAACCCGTTTTGAAGGCCTCAGTCAAATAGCAGCCAGGAGCCTTTTGACCGGAATCCCAAACGAGTAGAGGTGAAAAGGAAAATGGTTTTTGCAACACTGGTGATTTCTCTCCCTCTCTCAACTTGAATTGAATCTAGTCATTTCCATGCTTTTTATGGGACTTTCCTCCACACACGCACACTTCCCCTATTAAGCTTACAGCTCGGCGTTCACTAAACACGCAGACAAAGGAATAAGCCCTGTGTAAGAGAATGGGATTTACTCCCGTGTAAACATTTAGAGGATTGCACGCCCAAACCCACGTGTCTCCCCCGCAACTATTACCCTCTCAACAGAAGTGTGAGACCCACTGAACAAAACTTATATCCGAGTAAACATGCATGGGCTCCAGCTAAACGCCCTAGTGGATCTTTGTTACCCCCAAGGAGGTGATTTCGGTATTTCAGCCGCCCTAAGAGATGTTCACATTTCGAAACGATTGTTTTCCCGTGTTGTTGTTTTTCCAGTTGAGACAGATCCTGTGGGCGCTTACTCGGGAGAAAACCCCACTTAACGCGGTGGGAGCGACGCCGACCTGCCTAGAGAATCCACCTGCGCCTGTTTAGCTCCTTTCAGTGACTGCTCTTCGCAGATCAACCGGTTTGAGGATCAACCGGACCTTCGCGCTAGACAAAACGCCTGCACTCAGTTTACAGGTCCCTGGAAGCCCTTGCGCTCCAAGCAGGAAACCCGACTTGTAAACGGAGTGCCTTTGACTTCGATTTATATGCAACCCACTTGCTAGGAAGCGCTTCCAAACTCAGGCAAAAGTGGAGTGTGAACTTTATGGGACTTGTACCTCAGGACGACTTCCCGGCTCCCATCACTTTGATTTGCAGGTAAAGCTGCGCCCCTGAAAGGGAAAGGAGGGGTGAATAATCGGCTTTTAATCGGCGTGCGTCTGAAACCCAAACGAGCCGATCATTAGTTAATTACCACCGAGTTTGTAACAGCCTCTGATGACTGCTCTCTGAAGTGCTGTTTACTCCAACCGTAACCTAAGAGGGATTTTCTTTTTCTGTTTCTAGGAGGTTAAGGCCGGGGAAGCGGGGTTGCCTTGTCTTCTCCCCACCCCCTGAAAGTGAGATCTAAAAGTTATAAGTCTGCAGCGTGGAGGAATGAAGCAATGTTTGGAGAGGGATCAGAGACAGAAAGATTCCGGGTTTGAAATTACTGCTTCATTATGTTTTCATTTAAAAAAATAAAAATCAGAGGAACTACTTTCCCCCAGACTATTCCGGGGCGCTGGCAAACGGTTTGCAGGCGTTTGTGTGTGTGGACGGAGGGGAAGGTTGACCTCACCTCGCTGCGGTTTGATCTGCGCGTCGCGGTTTTCGATTTGCAGAACAGAGATCTGGCTGGAACACGAGGCCAATCAGTCCTCGCAGCCCCTATCTAAACCTGCAACATGCACAGCCCTGAGCTTTAGAAGGAAACCTCGATCTCCAAACGAGCGTCAACTCGGCGCCTTTCAAACGCTATCCAGGGCATGTGTGCTTGCAGAGGAAGACGTCTCGCACTCTTAAGCGGGGCATCAGGATTGTGATCCTACGCGAAGGGACTCCGAAAGCAGTGAAGGCTTTTTTCCAGGAACGCGTTTGCATGCTTACTTAATCCGAAGCAGGTTTGCTTGAAAGCCCCATGGTCCTCAGCAGGATTCCCTTCGGATGCGGAACGTAGCTTAACGCCACACCGAGGGCTTCAGAAATGTTATGACCTGGAAGTCAGTCTACTTTGTGGCATTGACGCATTTGGACGCCCCCAGCCTGTTGCCCTATCTAAATTCACGGATTTCGACGCCACTTGTCTCCCTGGCCTGGCCAGTACCTTTTCCATCCCCCTCCACACACACTTCCAGTACCACCCCGCTTTCAAAATAATGGCTCCCAAGTCCCAGCCATTAATTCGGATTTGCCTCCCCCTCCCCATTTGCGAGAATACTTCTATTACCCCAAACTTTGTTTTCAAGTCCAGCTGTTTTCTCCCTTTGTGTGAATGAGGAAGATAGCTGCCCGGCTGCCCCCCCCCCCCCGCACACACCCCAGGATGGATTCACACTCGCTGCAGGTTTAATAAATTAGTCAGAGATCCACACGTTACACCTTTACACGAGTTTTCTCTCTCTTCCCCACCGAACGTTCGAAACGTCTCAGAAAGCTGGAACCCTGGACTGAAACTGACAAGCCTTGTTCTCCCACCTCCCCACATCCATAAACTTCACGGGGGGTGAGTTGGCTAGCGCACACCTACCCATTATGAACCGCCTTATGTTTTGCTTCTAACGCCATGCAGAGACCACTTGTTATATTTAGACGACGAAAAGCGGTTCCTTTCACTAACGCAAGTGGATCGAAACTGGTTTGACTCCAGCTACTTTGCACGTTGCGATTCCGAAGTAAATTTAACTGAAATCAATGGGAATGACTTTCCTTTCGATATCTAATACGCCTGATTACTCCTAATACGAAGGAAATTCCACTGGAACGCATAGATCTTCTTTTCAAGTATTGGTGTGTGTTGGGGGAGTCTATTTAGCACCACGGCATATCAGCCTCCTACCAGATTCACGTGGTGTCTCATTTTGGATGCTCAGGAAATTTGTTTTGCCCCCCCCCCCCCGAAAACAGCATACATAAACACTATTTGGGATGAAATGACTGTTTTGTATGTAACTTCCTTCCGAAAATCCAGTTGGTGGGAAATATATTCAACGGTTGCACCCAGCCAAGTTTTACTTAGAGGAGACACGTTCATATTAATGGACTTAAGTGTCTCTTCTCCACGAACTTCAGTGCGTCTACTCTGAGTAGAATAAACATTGGACACAACTCTAAGCTCCAGATTTTTTTTAGATCTTTAGACATAAAAACAAAAACAAAAACCACCCTGTTTAAAATAAAAATGTAAATTTGTTTCGGATGTCATTGTAAACGCTAATTACCATAACATTATTTTTGCTGCTATAAAAACAACAACAACCCGAAGACATGTTTTGCTAAGGGTATAGGAGACAAATGCATGTTAGTTACACATGTATTTAAAATTTCACCTGGAGAAGAGAGTACACTTAATTTTTATTGGATTTATTATCTATTCATAATCCTAGTTCAGCCTTAACTAGAATCAAGAAGGACAGCAGGCCGGTTAGTTGTATCTTAAAGGAAATTGATTGATTCCCTTAGGAATTTAATACATCAAAAGAAAACCTTATGGAGACTGCTGGCGCGCCTATTCAATATGATCATTATTATATAGAAGGAACCAAGGTTGACAATATTTATGTTTAAGTTACTAGCCTTATATTCTGAATTTGTGTGGTGTCCCCCCCCCCCAATTCAAAGACTGAAAGAATCGTGGTTATTAAAATTATAAATAACATCAGCAACATTCTCGAGGCTGTCATATACGTACGTGCTGAAAATGGTCGTAATTGTTTTTTTAAAAAAAAAAACCATACCAAGCATAACACGACCTTCTTTATTTTATTTTAGAATGTCGGGAAGCTAAACATTATATTTATATTTAAAAGGTGCCTTTCAGAACTGAAAGATCGGATGGCCATTTCTAACAGGCCAACAGTTTCCCCTTAACTCAACTGAGGTCAATGAATCATTCGCAACTTTCTTTTCCCTTAAATGATGGAAGTAAGTTCAACAGGTTGATTTGTGGAGAGTTCCCTCCTCCCCGCCATCACTCCCCCTCCCCGCATCACAGTTCAGATGAACGATTTGACCTGGGTATTGAATCGGTGCTTTCTCTGAAATCATTATTTACAGTATTCTTATGGCCCTAATATGTGATTGTTTACACGTTTAAACAGCTTTGACTTCTTTATTTAGATTTATCGGCCAGTCTAAAAGAGTATTTGTATATACTCCGTGGTTTCTTGGGGGAAATCAAATCACATCTCGGTCGCTGTGAGGGTGAAAGGAAAAAGATTACCCCCACTCGCAAATCGTTTAACTGTATGTAGCTAAACCAATTAGCAGCTAATTAATTATGCGGGTCCAGTTCCGAAAAGCTCGCAAAAGATTTTTACAAATATAGGGAGACAGTTTTCCTATTTTCCGAGGCAGTGACGAAAGTCACGGATAAGTGACTAGGAACTGACATCCGTAGAAATTCCAAAGTAATTCGTGGAGGGGGGGGTCTTCTCTCTCTCTTTTTGCAGGGAGGTATTTAATAATTTTTAAATGCTGGAAATGGACTCCGAGTTGAAAGATTAAACAAACGAATACAAGTTGCCGCCTTTCTAAAATCCACGAAAATTCATTGCCATCCCGTTCAAATCAATGGCGTTTATTCCCGAGAAAATCTTTTTAGGCTCCCTGTGTTAAGGAAACAATCAAGACAAGCGGGTAAGAACCAACTTAATTTCCTTTCGATAACGTGGGTTCAAGGCTGGGTTGCCAACCAATTTCCAAGCAGGGGTGAAAAATAGAAAAAGAAAGCTATCTTATTTTACTTCTGAGTTGTGGGTTTTCTTTTGTTTTTAATTCTTTTTATATTTTAAGGGCACAGTTTTCCTAAATATTCAATGCTCCTTTCCCATTAATGGAAGAGATCTTTGAGGGGGGGGTACTTTTAATTTTCCTTTCTCCTCTATTTAAAAGCCCATAACCCTGAGACCTGGAAATAAATCTGAGTCCCCCAAAGAACCGGCAGTATGTGTAGGAGTGAGACCCTCGCATCAGATCACGACCCTAGGTGGTTAAGTTTCCTGAGCTCAAAATGATTTAGCAAATCGGAAATCCATCTTTCTTCGGAGCCTTCCTTTCACCCCACTCATGTTTCCCGTGGATGTGCTAGATTTTTTTTTTAAGCGCTTCTTGTCGCTCCCTCTTTAAACTCGCCCAACTTTCAAAAGATGAGCGCTATGTTTGAAATTCGGTACAAGTGTGACACCTACCTGTGAATTTGGGAAGCAATCCAAAGGCGACCCTCCTCAACCTTCCATTTGTATGTGCTAATCTCCGTACAGGCAGCACGCACACCCCGCCAAACCATCAAGTGCTTTTGCAGAATGGAGCCGCCAATAGGGGGAATAATTTTAATGCTAAACTTGAGGCTAGCAATGCAGGGAGATATTTCGTCTTTCTCTCTCTCTCTCTCTCTGTGTGTGTGTGTATTATACACGCACAACTGAAATGTCTGTCCGTATACACACAGAGAGAAAGAGATGCACACAGTATATGCACAAACAGAGCTATTTATCCATCTGTTTCCCCAGTGTATTCTCTTTTAATATGTATTCCCCCTATCCCTCTCCGTAAAAACTCTGCAGACCTTTGAAATAGTAATAAGGGATAAATCTGGCATAAAATCGAACTCATTAGCAAAGTTCACGAGCTGACTGCTTTGCATAAAGCCCGACACTGATTAAAAGTAATTAGGTTAAGAGACGGTCCGCTGTTGCCATCCTGCGCTTTTGAGTGCACTTCCACAGGAAATCTCCATCCTCTCCTCCTGTATCCCTGTATCCATCCATCCACCCCGCTCGACAAGCAGCAAGCTACAAGCGATAGACGTTCAGAGGCGCCCGCTAGCATCCACGGGACTGGGTCCCTAGGGGGGCGGTGGGGCAAGGGAAACCGGGGGGAGCCTTAAGACAGCAAGCTGACATATTCGGCTGCGGTTTTTTTGTTTTTTGTTTTTTGTTTTTTTGTTGTTGTTTTTTTGAGGGGGAGGTTGCTGCTTTTGCTGAATCCGTTCATGGGTCCCAGCTAGCTCAGGGAGAATCCAAGGTCTCTCTGGCAGAGATCTTTCTCAGCTTTTCTGCCCGAAACCCTTAAAAAAGAGGAAGAAGATGCAAAGAGACGGAACCCTGGGACCTTCTGCGCGCTTAACGAGGCAGAATTAGAAGGCCACTCATCCTACGCGGGGATCAAACCCACAGATTTTCAGACTGAATTAACTCCCCTGACAGGCCCTCATTAGATCCGGGACGTCACCGGCGCTTCCTTTCACAAGTCAATCACCTGTACATATTTCACTGCATCCTCCCTTCCCCGCTCACCCCTGTATACTTTCGCCTTTCTTCCCAGTCCCACCTGTCACCAAATCCATCAGGTGGAACTTATGCCAAATGTAGAGGCTTTGCCCAAATCGCCTGCGTTCAGGAAACATCCGTCCCTCACTTGGAAAAGTTACTTTCAGTTAAATTCTTAGAGTGCAGATTTCCGCTTCCCCTTCCCCCTTTCCCCTTTTAAAAGTGGTGGTGGAAGGAATGTACTCTAAATATGTCTTTTGTTATGGGTCTCCGCCCCAACCCACATTTCCTTCTGTCGGCTCCACTTTGCCATCAAAATGAATAAATGAAATGATTTGTATTTTTTTTTAAAAAAAACAGCTACATGCTTTGATTAAATACCGATATTTGACAAAGGGGTATCTGCATTTTTATACTTAATCCCGTGAGTTGACCGGCTTCTCCCGCTTCCCCTAATTAAAAAAAAAAAAGTTCTTCACATTGAGTAATAATATAATACTACTAATCGTAATTCAATAGGCATAAAAATTTAATTTAAACTTGTATATATATATATATAGATAGATTTTAAAACTATGAAACAATTTGGGAAAAGACACAGAAATGTATATATATATATATTTATATATATATATTTATATTTTATATTACCAAAAAAACCAACATTGATGGCTGTACAGGCGGTTGGATTTCATAATTTACTTCAAAGATAGTGTTACCGATTTAAATACAAAAAAGCTACATTAAATATACAGAATAACATTTCATACAAATTGTTTCTGCCTTCCCCCGCCCTCCCCATGTGGGTATTTCTTCCCTCTTCCCGCACTTCCTGCACTTTTTACCTTAAGACATTATTATTATAATTATTATTATTTCTCCTCCCAAGAGCTGCTTACTTTCTGCTTTCTCAAATAAATTATACCACTGATTTTGGAAATTGGAGTGGTCTGGGTTTCTCTCCCCCCCCCTCTTTTTCTTGCTTTCCTCCTTCCGCACTTAGTTCTCTCTTTTTTTAATTAAAAAAGAAACCTCTGCCAAAATAAAGTCTGAATTGGTCGTAAATAAATTAAAACCAACAACAATAAAAAAGCAGAAAGAAATAGACGACATAAAAAATTAAAAAGAAAAGAAAAATCAAGGGAGAGGGGATAGTCCGGTCGTGGATGACGAAGAGGGTTTAATCTGGGAATAAACTCAAGATTAAATATGCGACATACCTTTCTTCAGTTCGTAAGGCGAGTCTTTACTAAGATCAAACTGGGACTGGCTTCTGAGGATTTTAGTTTCTTTAGCCAAGGCTTCCGCTCTGTTCAAAATAGTCTGGTTTAATCCGTTAAAATGGGGGCTGGGGTTCCCCGCCGTCGCCGCGTTGCCGGAGAGGTGTCCGAAAGAGCTGTAGTTCGTGTAACCCGGGTAAAAGGGGCTGGTGGTGTAATAGAGGGGCCGCGAGAGGACCGAGGCGCCATTGGGGAAAGGGCAGTGCGTGGAGGAAGGCGACCGCGCCGTCGGGGATTGCGCCGAGCCGGCTCCGGCTAAACTCGGAGCCTGCGGGGCCGCCTCGCCGCTGCCCTCCTTCGATTTGTCCGCTGAGGTGGCGATCTCCGCCAAAGACCACAGTTTAGGCTTGGAAAGGGCCCCGGCTCCCGCCGCCGCTGCCGCCTGCGGAGCCGCCTGGGGCGAGTGGATCACCGACGTCCCGTTGCTGGAAGGCAGGAGGGGGTGCAGGTCCGTCGAAGGGGGTCTGTACTGGGAGGGCAGCGGGTGGGCCGGCTGCGGGTCCTCTCCTCCGGCCGGGTGCAGCTGCTGGTGCGCTTGGAGAAGGAGGCGGCCCGCAGCAGCAGCAGCCGCTGCCGGCGGCAAACAATGGGCCAAAGGCGGCGAGGCCCCGGGGCCTCCTTTAGACAGCGCCTCGTCGGGGGCTTCTTTACAATCCGAGTCGCTCAACGCGCCGTCGGCTTCTTTGCCTGCCGCGCCTCCCTTCGGGTCTCCAGCACCTGAGGACAAGGGCAGAGGGAGGGCGACACACAGTCCTTGAGGCCTCTCTGGAGCCCGATCCTCGGCCTTCCCACCCACCTCGTCGAGTCCCAGGAAGGGGAAAAAAAACCCACCTTCCCAAAGCGCGCCTTATAAACTACTCTGGAACCAAGGTTTTCTGGGGACGAATCCAGACAGTTCCTATTTCCCCCTCATGGCCGTTTCAGCCCCATTAAGTCTTGCGATCCCCTGCTCCTCCCTCGCCCCAGACAGACCCCCTTGCCAAAAAGCGTACAACCCAGTTCACCTCCCCAAATCCGTCTCCTCTCATCTCCACCGGCCGCTTACCTATCTCGATCGCCTCCAGATCGCCCTTCTCCTCCAGCTTCTGTGGCTCCTCCTCGTCGTTCTTCTCCAAGTCGATGTTCTCCTCTTCCTCCTCGTCTTCGCTCCGGTTCCGGGGAGTCCAGGTCATTTTATTCTCCTTTTTGAGGCGCCGCCGGGCGTTGGCGAACCAGGTGGAGACCTGCGTGAGGGTCATCTTGGTGATGATGGCCAGCATGATCTTCTCGCCTTTGGTGGGGTAAGGGTTTTTCCGGTGCTCGTTCAGCCAGGCCTTGAGGGTGGCCGTGGCGTCCCGGGTGGCGTTTTTCCGGTAGGCCGGGTCGCCGTAGGGGTAGGATCCCAAGGGAGCCGCGTAAGGGTGGTACCCCAAAGAGCCGGCCATGCCGGGGGTGTGGTCGTAGGGCGAGCCCTGGAGGAAGGAGAAGGAGAGGCAGAAGCGTCGCCTGAGGTGAGAAGGAGACCTCCTAATAATCATTCTTGAAATCCGTATCTCTGAGAAATCAAACCATCTCCCTCCCGTTTGAAAGGGTCCTCTCCACAATACGTGGTTGTACCCCCATCTCCATAACAGACTCGGCCTAAAAGTTGGAGTGTCACCATACCTGGGGGTGGGAGTCAAAATAAGTCTTTCCTAAGCTAAACACGAGTTGCCCACCGGTGTCTGAATGCGACCAGAAAGTGTATCTCACTCACCCACTTCCATCTCTGCCAAATTACCAAGCTATAAACAGTAACAAATTACACCTCAGCCTCCTCCCCTTCTAATTGAACGCAACCTTTTACACAAACCCACACACACCCTTCCCCCCCCTTTCACTTGGAAGCATGACAGTGTCTAGACAGATAGCAAGCTCTGCCTCCATGACCCACCCCCCACTCCCGAGGGGGAATTTTCCCGACAATAAGCCTTAAACCGAAATATTCGGATTCAACTCTATTCCAGTCCAAGTGTTTCCAAGAGGCCTAACTCGCATTCTTTTTTAAGAAGCTGCGATATTTAGATTGGAAATGTAACTAGAAGAAGTAGTTCAAGCATGGAAGAGGAAGCCCTTTAGTTTTGGCTTTGTTTAGTTTCAGGAGGGAATAACCACTTTATTCGCTTTCTCTTTGTAGATTTATTGAGCTACTGAAAGCGTTTCTTTCACATAACTTCTGGACAGATGTTTCCAGATGTATTCCATACTGCCTGAGATTATTGTGGAAGGGATAGGTACATTTTTTTAAAAAAAGAGAGAGATACTGAAACTTCAAAAAAAAAATCTTTTTGTATCATCATCATCAGACTGTCAGTCGGCACCCTGAGATGAAATTATAACTCTGCAATATTTGGGGAGCCCGATTAAGTCGGCAGGGAAATGGCAAGGGGCAGAAGGGTCACCCCCTTACTCAGCTTTTCTTTTGGGCATCTAAACTGCCGGATTTGACTTGAATTAAAACATCTGAAAATCGTATTGGAGAGTGTATATGTATGTATAGACACGCACCTTCACTGAGACTCTAACTCTCATACGTTTTTCTAAATTAAAATGAAAAGGCAGAAACGGAAAGCCTTGCTCTTCTTAGCCCCTTCAAGATCAAAGCTGCGTCCCTAATCACACACTGACCCGGAGTCACTTTGCGGGGTTGACTTCCGAGCAAACACGCTTAGGATCGCCGTGCTCTGCTGCTGCGTACTTTTACTCGAGCGTAAAACAGCCGCCGAGGATCGTGGCGCTGCCCGGCTTCCTTGGGAGCAAAAGTGGAGCTTACTATGCAGTAAAACCAGATCGCGCTGCAGCTCCCGTTCAACTCTGTATTTGGCGTGGGGGGGCAGGGGGTCCAGAGTTAAACCAGCAAGGAGAAAGACGCTGGCCGGCTGCAGGCTTTCTTGCGAGAGAAATGTCCCATTGATCTCCGCGCAGGAATCCTTCGTCCTGCAACCGATTTCTTTTTAAGAAAATGCGGTATGCTAACCATCCACTGAAGAACTGCGGCCATGGAAGGTGCCAAAATCCACGGGCAGCTTTTCTTTCCTGCACCCCTCCCTCTGCACTTCATCTTTCCCCACTTTACCTGCCGCTTTCGTCTATGGTTACAGCCTCCAAACCCTCCAAGCTCCAGCCCCCTGGGTTATCTCCACAACTCCCCAATAACACCCGCCCCACCAAGTCTTCGTCCCTGAACTCTGGTTCCATCCCTCTCTCGGTCTCCTCCTTTTCCCACAAGCGGCCGGCGTAGAGGAGGAGGAGGAAGAGGGCGACCCGAGCGCTTCCCTTACCACGTAAGAGGAGAAAGCGGCCGCGGCCGCGGCCGCCGGATCAGCGCCGTACTGAAGGTGTGAGTTGTAACCCGGCGAGGGCGCGCTGAAGGCGGTGGAGCCGGCGTAAGGAGAGAAAGCCGAGCCGGACGACGATCTGCCCAGCTCATCCGTCCTGGGGCCGGAGATCACGCTGGTGCTGTACGCCGGGCAGGAGTAGAGCGCCAAGGAAGCCGACGGCTGGTACAAATAACCCTGAGGATACGACATGGCCAGAGGCAGGCATATACCCGCCAGGCAGCGAGCGCACAGCCACCACCGCCGTCGCCAGGAACTGCGTCCGTCCTCCCTCCCTGCCTCCCTCTCTGCCGGGCGCCCTGTGCGTTTCTCTCTACGGCGAGCGTCGTCGAGGTCTGCCTTCGAGGGTGCTTCTGGAAGCCGGGGCTAGCGGGCTCGACGAGCGCGCCCTCCTTCGCCGCCTCTCCAGTGCAGCCGAGCTGAGCTTGGACGCACTCCGGCGAATGGCTCCCTTCTTCTTTTCTCCCCTCCTCTTCCTCCTCCCCCTCTTCTCCTACTCCTTCGCCTTATCTCTCAGCCTCCCTCCTTTGGACGGAGAAGGGCTCTCTCTCTCTCTCTCTCTCTCTCTCTCTCTCTCCCACCCCACTTTCCTTTGCGCGCTCCGCCAAAAGGTCCGGCCAAGACGCGAAGTTGGAAATCGAGGATTCTGACGCCTGCGACGCAGCGCGGCCGAAGCTCCACCTTCCGCGGGTGTTGGCAAAGCAAAAAAAGGGGGGGGAGTGGGGGGGGAGAGAAAAGAGAGGGGGAGGGAAACGAGAGAGAGAGGAGGAGGAGGTTGGCTCCTGCTGGGCTTGCCACAACCAAAGCCAACCAGCCAGAAAACCTCTCTTTTTCCCAGCCCCTCTCCCTCTCTCTAGCTCAACTGCGCCGGCCTCTGGTTGGCAATCAACAGCCAAGCTGTTTAGCGAAGATCACCTCCAACTTTCTTCATTTGCTAAATACACCATCAGCGCAATTTCTCTTTTGATTTATAGCGAGGAGCTTTTGCGCGCTCTCTCTCTCGCTCTCTCTCTCTGGCTCCCTGCGCTGGAATGCAAAAGGCACTCAGTTGATGAAATAGATTTCATAACAAGATTTAGTAGCCATTAAAACACACACACACGGGGGAAATAAAATCATGAATCGATGCTTCCCGAGTAAACATTTGAAAAAAGAGCAGTTAATGTGAGGGTTTTGTTTTTGTTTCTTAAACTATCTGCAGAGAAGAGATGCAAGAAGATAACTTCTGTTCCACACAGTTGCTTCGCGATCGTGCTTCTCTTGTCGCTCTTATTATTGTTGTTGTTGTAGCACATATTACTACTGGATGTTGGTGATCCACATGGCCCTTTACTCACGAGGAATCCAGCTGTGGATTTCCTCTCCTTCCACCGCTCACTCAGCACCGCCCCCTCCCCTTTCGACAGCAGCAACTGCGGGTTAAACGGATTGGGCCAGCCGCTTGACACTTAGCGAGGGGGCTTAACGAGTCCTCCGCAGCCTGCTTAAAGCAGCGTGCTGGAGCTTGAAACGTTTTGGGGATGGCTGGGGGTTGGGAAGCCTGCGTGGGTGCCGCGCGGATCGCACCGTTCGGCCTGCTTGGCTCAGGGCGGCGCCAAACGCCTGGAGGCGCGCGGACTGGCAGGCCAGCTCACGCGCTTTGGGGACCGCGGCGACATACACGAGCGAGCCATATTTTGCCAATTAGTTTTGCGTTTTGGCAGCCCGAAGTCGAGTTTGGGAGCAGGCTTTTGGACTGATCCGGGGACGGGAGGCGGGATGAAAACTCAACTAAATATTTCTTTTCGGGGGAGTGGTGGCGGAAGGACGTGTCCTAGTCTTTTCTCCCAGCCTACCTCGCCGGGTTGCTGTGAGGATTACCGCACTCTCCCTGTGTGTCCCAACTGGTTTACTGTGGATAAGTATCACGGATTCATTCCGCTCGACATTAATAAGAGAAGTATAGGAAGCGAACGCACAGCCGCGAGCCCGTGCGTAAAGGTCGATGAAGGCCAATGGAACAACTAAAAGGTGCCCAACCAAGCGATCGACGTCGCGTCGCTCCATTGCCTCCCTGGTCATCTTAGCGGGCTGTTATTTGGTGGAATTGTAGCATACCTGTTGTTACATGCGGAACCAAGGGGCACAGGACAAACGCCCCCTCAGATGCTGGGGAGATGTTTGTAAATGTGTGTGTTTATTTAATACGCACAAAGAATCCAAGGTGGGCGTTTTAAAACTGTTGTGATAATAGGGGCAATTTCTTACCTCCCGCCATCAGCCTCCTTGGGATGGAGAAAAATGCGCGGAGGGGGGGTGGTTGATAAGGAGAAAAGTGGGGTGGGGTGTGATGGGAGAGACCTGCCTGCTGAAAGAGGTTTGTGCAGAACATCTAAAAGAATAAGCCAGGTATCTTTACTACGCGCCCCATTTAAAACTCATAAAAGGATAGAAGAGAAAGCAGATTAAAACCATATGGGCCAGGGGGAAATCCACAGCGATCGTAGGATGTAATCGCCTTTGATTCCAGCAGATATATAGCCCAGCAGGAAGATACCTTCGCTTGTAGGAAGATACCCTCTCTCCACCTCTTTTTTGGCGGGGGGGGGGGAGGCGGAGATGGGGCTTCGCTTCTGTGAGGTGCCTCCGCATCACCTTGTGGGTGTTTCTGTCTTCCAAGTACACTCTGTATCCATATCGACGCCGGCTGCTGAGCTTTCGAAGTTTCCTCTCGGGATCCACAGACAATGACACACACACAGAGCCAGCCACAATACAAACACGTTAGCATGCCTGCATCTATCCATACAGCACATAATCTCAGCCCCCCTCTTGGCGAAATTCCTGCCCGGCTTGCTGATTAATTTTTTTTAAGGGTGCGCAGGGGGTGGGTCTGGAATGGGGTTTCTTTCCTATAGCTCTGGTCTGGTGCCCATTTCGTGTGTCCTCCTTTCCGCGGAGGTCGTTCTTGCCAGATTGCGGTCGCGCTTTCAGCCACTTACTTAGATGAAATACACAAGCAGAGTGTCAGTTTCAAAGCCACGGCAGCAGCCGCCGCCAGAGGAGCGATGCTCGCCCTCCGCTTTTGGTCTTGAAAACTCCGAAGCGGGGAGAACTTTGGTAAAAGCAGCAGAGAAGCGTAAGGCTGAATTCGGCGCCTCTTGTAGCTTGCTTGCTTGCTTCTTTTACACACTGGAGACGCGGGAGACACTGGGTTTAAAGGGAAAAAATGGCAAAACCTAGAGAGGGGATAGATTGGAGCGGGTCGGGGAGGCGGCTTAGCTGAGAAAAACCAATTTCTGCAGACTGGCTCTGAACAGTGGGTACCCATCTGTCAACTAACCGGCTCTTTCCTTCTGAAACTGAATGTTCTAAATTTCTGACCTCCAGATTCACTCGCGAGCAAGTTCCATTGAAATCTGCCAGAACCATCTTCTTATCAAGTACTGTTATGTGTCTTTTCGGAAGGGTTTTTAGAAAAGAAAGAAAGAAAGAAAGAAGTGTAAGTTAATAAGCTTGCTGATTATTTAAACTCACCCTGGAAAGAGTTGCTCTGCAGTCCACAGACCAGTGATTTTTATTTTATTTTAACTGTGTAATTACGGAGAGGAAAGGGGGGCGACTCCCAGGCTGCAAGCCCATGCTCTTGGGACCTAAGACCCCTGGAGCAAAATGAGGCTTGCTTTCAGGCAAACGTGCGTAGGTTTGAGGTGCTGCTCCCCAGGAATAATTTCCGGCTCCGCGCACACGTTGCAAGCAAGGCCCTAAGCTTGTCTTACTCCGGAGTAAGTCCTGTTGAATTCAATGGGGTCTCTCCAGAATTACCACGCTGCGCTTTTCTTGCACCCCATCTACTCCCCCCTCTCCTCACCTCATTTCCACCCCCCGCCCCTTCACTGCCTGCACGTAATGGTCAAATTATGCCCATGAGGGGGCAACCCGCAACCCAGTTGAGCCGAATGTCTTCCAACCATTGACTTCTCTGGCACAGAGTTATCTGCACATGTTGGTTTGCCGTGGAAGACAAAGCAATGCCAAAACTTCAGGGGGCGGGAGGATTCCTCCCCCCATCCATTCTGTTGAAATCTCTCGGAGAAAGAGGTGGTGGACTTCTTTCTCTCAGTGCCTTGACTAGTAGTTGTTAACTCTTCGGGACAAAGGGAGGGGGACGACGAAGGAGGCGGGGGCGGGGGAAGATCCTGTCATGCAAATCCGGATTCAGAGCAAGCAAGTCTCCTGGGGTTTCTCCCCCTGCATATTTATCGATTTCTCTCTCTGATCGCTGCTGCTAATTCTTTTTATGCGTTTGAAGGGTGAATTCTTGACTGGAGGAAACGCCTGCTTTAAATAACAATAAGAGCAATCATATAATAAAAGAGCGCCGCGTCTTTTGGTGTGTGTTTATATGTTGTATGATTACGCCGTAATTAGACGGTCTTCAATATAAATTCGTGCTAAAATTCCCTTTCCTTTATTTTCTTATAATTGGAAAGAGGATTTCTAGGGGACTCACGAAAATCCTCCAGAGAAGGTTGGGACTCGTTCATTTTATTTATAGCTACGATATAGAACAGCTAGTCTACTCGGGAGTAAGCTACGTTAAATTCAATGGAAACCGTGTAAGCTCATATAGGGCGGCAATTCAAGCCTACGGAAGTAAATTTCGGGCTGCTAAGCTTGCTCACACGTCCCATGGGAGCAAATCCTATTGGACACGGTGGGACATACTCCTGAGTAAACAGGTGTATAGGTTATGCTTTGTATTTTACTTTATTCCTCACGTGACTCACCTCTTTGGAGATTCCTTGAAGCCCTTCCAGGAAATGGCAGATGGAGGCTAGATTCTGTGCTTCAGCCACCGGATCGCACAGGGTTCTTGTGTACCTTTAAAAACTGCACTATGCTGGTGGCGTTTTGTATGTGTGTGTTTGTAAAAAGTACCCCCCCCCCACGCACACTATAAAGCATTTCATTGGGGCAGGGGCGGTATGATTTATATGCAAAACGTCCCAGGTTCGGTTCCCGACCTCTCTAAGCAGGGCTGGGAGAAAATCTTTGCTTGGAATTCTCAAGAGTCGCTGCCAGTCAGTGTCGACAATTCTAGGTTGGATGGACCAATATTCCTGGTATAAGGCAGCTTTTCGTGGGTTTTGTAAGTTTTCAGTTTTCCTCTCAGAGAATACACAACTGTCAAATTCGGAGTTCTATTTATTTTTCAGCCAGACCACCTGCAAAGTTTCGATCATTCCCACTGCTTGAGATATTAGCAGATAAATTGGAGTTGGAAGGAACCTGGTTGGGAGACTCTACCCACAAGAATTGTGTTAAGCAATTGGCCGAAAGAAGGAAAATCTCTCTCTCTCTTTTTGCTGCCTCCTACTCCAATGAGAATTGGGTGCAACCGTCAGTTCGGTTTTATGCACAGTGTAAATCCCAGACACGTAGTCTCCACAAATGCAAACCCTATTGAGCTCAACGGGGCACCTCTGACCCTCCAGATGTAGCTGCACTCCAACACCCATCAGCCCCCCTCCCGTATGGCCAATGATCAGGGAAGACGGGAGTTGTAGTCTAGCAATACCTGGGTGGGCAAATTACTCCGTCCCTGAATTGTATAGCCTTAGTGCACTGCAAACTCCCGTGGTCTGCGGTGCTTTTCCTCCGCCTTGGGAATCTGGGTCTTGATAAGCGCCGCAGCAGAGGCGAAACCGATTTTTAAACTGGGTTATTGTGCCGTGACATCCCCCACCCCATTAATCAGGGATCCTGGGGGTGTAGTAAGAAGCAGCGAGACTGAAACATCAGGAAATGAAGACGGAAATGGTGAAGAGGAGAGGAGCTGGCGGCGGGCAAATCAAGAGAAACGGCAAAAAAAATCCCCGCCAAAGCAGCGTTCATTTTCCGCTAAGAGCACAGGTAACGTTTGGGACTACATTACCCAAGCGCCTTTCTTCCAGCAAGCCCCGCCTAGCTCTCTCTCTCTCTCTTTCTCTCTCCGCTTATTGGTGTTGGCCTTTGGCGTTCTGCCGGACGCGTCGTCCCGATTGGCGGAAAGAGCCTGCCACTCGGCGTTGCTACAGAGACGTGAGTCAAACCTGGGCGAAGGCGCTATGGCCCCAGTGGACAGCTGCAGCCTCGCGCCCTGCTCGGGTTCTTTCCTGGCGCTTGCAAAGGAGGGATCCGGAGTGGAAAGGTGAGCAGGGGCTGGGCGGGTGGACTGGAAGGCAGGCAGGCAGACAGGCAGACATCCTCTAGGGGGAGGAGCAGAGCTGTGCATCCCCCCTTTGCAGTGCTGTGGCTCGGGATACACCCCCCTCCCTTATCTCCGCTGATTAAGGTTTGGGGTAGGATAGCTCTACCTGCCTTAGCTCTTGTTCCTTGCTAAATTCCTCCTGGTTTTGCAGCACGCTGCAGGATGGGCTTAGCTTGCTTTTGATGTAACGATTGCAAAGCCATTCATTCATTTTTTATTTAATTTTTTTGCATGGGGGCGGCGGCACTGAAAGAACGCAACCGTGATGCTCAACGTTTTAAATAAAACAGATCATTATTAACCCAGTGTTCAAAGCGAGGTCGTCATATTTTCTCTTCTAAGATTCCCGGATCAGGTATTTGGGATACCCGTTCAGTCTCTCTCTCTCTCTCTCTCTCTCTCTCTCTCTCTCTCTTCCCCGGCTTCCTTGCTCTCTCCTTCCCCTCCCCAGCAGAATAAGGGCTCAGCAAATTTGTGCATCGAGGTGGGTGGGGGAGAAGCAGAGCAACCCTATTGCACATAACAGAGGTATCTTAATACGGATTAATTACCATCCCAGGCACCTGGAGCATATTTCGTGGTGGGTTTTCCTTTCGTGGCTGGTGGTTTCTGAAAGTTCTTAGTGATTGATTAAAATGGAATAGAAGTGTGTTCTCAGGTACAGTAAGGGGGTGTGTTTTGTAGGCTGGTGAGCAAAGAGTCATTTGGAGTGGTTGTGAGTTGAGAACTCATGTGCCTGTGTGTTTCTTAACACTTCTTCAGGGGTTAATTTTGCATTTATCCTGGTGTGTGTGTGTGTGTGTGTGTCCTTATCCTTATGGAGATGCTCCCCCAAAGTACCTGAAGAGGTGGGCCAGCCCCCACTTATCAGTTCCCCAGGCAGTAACTTATCTATCTCCATTTCCACAGTCACTGAGATGGAGTGGGGTGGGGGAACAAAACAAAACCCAAACCAAACAAACAAAATTGAAAAGCAGTTTATTGAACCATGATACTAAAATGATCAATGAAAGCAAGACAGATAAGGTTGTCTGCAGGCTGAGTTGTGTAAGGTTCTGTTTACATGTCTTTTCTTGAAGGACCTCATTCCTTCTTCTCATATTCTCCAGATGGCTACAATTTTACTTCTTCAAGGTTTTGGTTGGTCCTCATCAAATGTATTCTCTGTGAGGTTTTGCAACTTGAGGCTTACCTGCAAAAAAAGTCCCATGAATTGAAAAGGGGATTTCTTCTCAAGTATGTGTGTATTGGATTGCAGTCTTCACCTGCAATCCTACACACTATATACTTGAGAGTAAATGCTGTGAAATCAATGGGACTTTCTTCCACTTTAGCATGGTTAGATCTGGGTGCACATCTGCTTCCTCAATATTAGTCATATTAAAATGAATTGAATTGCTACAAACCCAGAACATGGTCCCCAGCTTTTCTTGGTTCAGAGTAATGCCAGCACAGAAATTGTGAATGACAGTTGTAAGTAATATTGCTGTATTCTCCTTAGTGAAAAGTTTAGCATTGCAAATTAATATGCAACTATCAGTGCACAGATATTGTGTTAAAATAACAGTGACACAGAACTGTTGCATTCCTGTGGTTAGCGATATAAATGTAAATTCTTGGTATCTGAAAACTGCAAAACGTTAAAATATTTTTATTTTTTATTTTTTTAAGAATAATTTTTTATTAACTGACCAATCACATCAAATCAAACCAAATTACATAAATTCCAAATTACACAGCCGAATTTTAAATTTTTGTTGGGGGTACCCATATTTCAAGTTCTGAAGGGATCCAATCAACTTCTTGCTTCTTACTGCTGTTTTAATGTCCACAAATCTAACCTTATGATGTTCACAGTACTATCCAGTCCTTTCTTCTTGTTTTTCCACATCTCTTGTTGTTATTTTCATATATTTTTCCTTTCTCTTTGTGACCTCTGATAATCTCCACAAGCTGGTTAGACAGTTTGTAATCCTGTGTGGATATTTTTTATTATTATCCAGTAGCCATATCCAGACGTTTTCCATGTAACATCACTTCCATACATCAAAACAGTCTTAGCATCATTAATCTTCACCAATCTGCCTCCTTTCTCAAAACCTCTGAGGAGATTCACCAGGAATGCAGTCTGAAAACAAGTCCGTTCCTTCTCTCAGCTATAAATCCTTTGGCAAGATGGCGACTCCGAATTAATTGCTACGCCATTCCAAAAGCTCTTATTCCTTCTCGATCTCCATAAAGCATACTTTTGGTTAAAGTTTATCTCCACACACACCTTAATCATTCTGCTTGGGTCAGTTCAACCGACGATTCTAATGAGGAGAGGTTCTTGTAAATCACATAGAAGGAAAGTAAAAAAGGTCCCCCCCCCCCATTCAGTCCCGTTGTCAACATACCCAGCCTTTGGTGTATCTTCATCATAAAATATTCCTGTTTCTCCAACCTGTCGTCTTCTTTCGCAGAGGTCACTTAAATTAGCAGACTTCACTCCCCTTCTTCACTTGAAATATGTGCATTTGCTTCTTTTGTAATTAATTATTCCAAATTGCTGCAGCTAGTGCGTGATCAGAGACAGCGTCCAGGAGAGCCAAGGTCCACACAGGGGCATTCTGCAAAACATTAAAATAAACCCAATGCTTCTCTAATTCCCAGAGTAGCAGTTTGATTTCCTTGGCTAAATATGTATGATCACAGGTGGCTTATTGAAGTTTTTTTTATTTCTGTGCTGTCTTTCATATAGCTCAGGACTTTATGAAAATGGCTATTTAAATTCTGGTCAAAATAAGTAGATCGGCTAGAACCTCCCAGGCATCTTACTAAGGAGACATTATTTCTCTGTGTGAGTTTGAATATTTTCTAAGGAGATTTTTCTTTTTACATTTCATTTGTCCTAAAGAATCAAGAATCAGATTCTACATTTTTTTAAAGAGTGCATGGTGTTTTGCCTTTTGGAAACATACTGGCTTTCTGTAAAATGAATTCCAAGGCATTCTTACATGCTGAATCCACACAGGTGTGCACTTTGATCAGTTTTCAGCGTGTCTGTGGCACAGCTATTTGTCCCCAAGTTAATTTTTAGTGCTTCAAATCTCTCTCTTCCCTATGCCTCTCTCAAGACTGTCTGTCATAATCTCCCAACAATTGCACTCAGCAAGTAAGATATCATCTTGCAAAGTTTTGAGTGTATTTAATGTTCGTATGGTCTGTGCATATGTGTGTGTGTGTAGTCAAATGAGTAACCCAATTTGTTTCTTGCTCAATTGCAGCAGAGCTGTTTAAAGAAGCTTTCTACTCCAGTCCGTGACTCAGAGGCAGAAGGTAAGGTGGCTGCTGTGTAATAATAACCTTTTCTTGGTGATTGACATTCTGCTAAAAATGATAAAACTATTATTATTATTATTTATTATTATTAATGTGCAAGCTTTGGACTCTGTTTGGTGAATGAAATGCCGACCAGGAACGTGCTGCTCCATTGCAGATGTAAATGGCTTTCATGAGCTGTCCTTGCCGTAGCATTCCTCTTGCTTAGCCACTGCAGTTTTAAGAGGACTGTAGATAATTTTTCAAGGTATTGAAACATTTAGCCGTGGCTTCCTCTGCCGTGGTTGTCACCTCTGCTTTGTGTCAATTGCAGATTCATTTCGTAAGGATGTCTCTATTTTCTGCTTTATCTGCACATTGATAGATCCTGCATGACCAGGCTGAGGGAGGCTTTGCTAGGAGATGACTGTGTTTGGAAACAGACACACACACACACACACACACACACACACACGAAGGAGCTGAAATCTAATCTGCTTTTTAGGGGGTCTGTTGGACTCCTTTTGATTAAAGGAAAATATGAGCTCGATCTGGAGATTTCTCCCCACTTCCCTGCATTCTGCTGTGTGTCGCTTTAGCAAATAGTTTCGCAAACGCAGAAGGAACAGTAACATCCTGCTTGATAAGTTTGGCTTCCCTTTGCATGGATCAGTTTGGAACGGCTTTATTTGGAATCCATGCATCTCTTCGCACCGGGGGCACCTCATACCTGCCAAATGCTTCCACTGCAGTAGTAGCTGCATCTTTGTAAGCAGGGGCAGAACATTATCAAGTGCCTAAAAATGGGAGAGGATGACCCAGCTCCCCTGTGAGGAGAGCAGAACTGTGATGAGATTTCCAGCCCCCCCTCAGCACATGTCAGCCTGAGCACACATACCCCCGTCCCCCACCGTCCACACATGTGCATGGCTCTTGACTTTCCCCCTCTCCATATTATCACAACAACTCTGTAAGGGACATTAGGGTGAGGGAGAGAGTGTGACTGGCCTCAGGTCACTAAGGGATCTTCATGGTGAGTTGGGACTTGATCCCTGGTCTATCCCAGGTCCTAGTTCAATACACTGCCCGGAACACCATTCTGGCTCTTTCTGAATACCTCCATTACTCCCAACTGGGGGTGGGGGCAGAATAAGAAGGTTCTCATGAGCCCTCTAGTAACCCCCACACTTTCAGTTAGACTGGATAATCTCTTAAGGTTGTGATATTTCCCCTCTCCTCTGCATATGGTTGACTCGGAAACCTAGAGATCTGAAATATTTTTGTTTTCCATCCTGGAAGAGTTCATAGTCCCTGCACAGGCACACACTTCTAGATCTGTAGGCTTCACGTTATTAATAAAAATATTAGCGTGTGCAAATGTCTGTGCAGTGACTTAGTATAACTCTCTCTAATTACAGATTTAATATCCCCATCAAAAAAACAACAAAGAGTCTGGTGGCACCTTAAAGGCCGACAGACTTATTACAGCCGAAGCGTTTGCATTTCTTAGCCTTTTAGGTGCCATAAGACTCTTTGCAAGTTTTGCTGTGACAGACTAACACGGCTAACCCCTCTTGAACTTAAGCTTCCCATTTTACCCATGGGGAAACCGAGGCGAAGAGGGAGTAATTTTCTTTCTTTTTCTTCTCCTTCCAAAGGCCACCCAGGGAGTTAATGGCTGTTATGAAGTTGAACCCACATCTTCTGGACCAGGACCAACCCCTCCAGTTATCTCCTTCTGCCATCTATTTGTGTTAGCCATTTTGGCGTGCTGTTTTAATTTCGCAGATGTGAATAAGAGGGGTTTTCCCTTCCTTTATTTTTTGAAGGTTCATACACACACACAAGTATGTACTGTACTGTATATATGTGTGTATTATTATATACATATACACATATATACATTTCAGCCTTTTAAATAGAATATTACAGATAGGTATGGAGGCCTACAAATGCTGAAGTTGCATTATGGGAAGTGGTGGTCTGTTTGCCCTGCGAAAACCCAGGCTCCCCCCCCCCCGGGTGCCAAGCGTGTGTCTAGACAGTGCGGCTGCACGCGGAGGCTCGTTTGATTGGAATGCTCCCCAGGCTGAAAATATTCCTTACACATAGAGTATTAGATGTTGGGGGAAGTCCATGCTAGGGCTCTTCTTCCATGATATTAACCTTGCAGTCCTGTACTCATCTCTTGGAAGTAACTGCCACTGAATTAAATGGGACATACTCCTGAATGTATATGGCAGGTGTGGCAAACCTTTCGGCCTTCTAGATGTTCCTGAACTACAAAACCCATCAGCTCCAGGAAGCTTGGTCAATGGTCATGGATGATGGGAGTTGTAGTTCATCAACATCTGGAGGGCCAAAGGTTCCCTACATGCAATAATAGGGATGGGTGAACCTGTCAGTTTTGTTTTTTCTTAGTTCCTCAATTTACTTCCACTCTCCACAGTTTCACATCTGTTGCAAAACTTTTTTTCAAGAGTCCTCGTGAAAATTTGTTAGCATCCTACTGAGAATGTCTCCCGCTACATGGCTTTTAATATGCAGTGTTCCCTAAAATGCACATTTTTGCAAAGCAATTTCCCGTAACATTATGCTTTTTTTTGGTATTTTATTTTCACATTTATATTCATTTCTTGGACACTTTGCCCTTGTGCACTGTAAAATTAGAAGGGTGGATTTCACAGGATTGCCAATGTTTCTGTTCACTATTTGTTTAAAAAATGCAAACCTAGGTAGTTTGCTCTTGAAGTGTGAATTGAATCATATTTCTCCCCCATCTCTAAGTGCTGCTAACCCTAATATTTTTGTACAGAAAAGCTTTTTATTTTATTTATTCATTTTGGTGTCCATGTACTGCTTCCTCTCAGTGATTTCAACGTAGATTAAAAAAAGAAATATAAACCAGGTCAGGTGAGCATAAACAATGTAAAGCAATGCAGATAAAGTAACAGTCAATAATCAGAGAGTTTGAAGTATTTAAAATTAATTTTAAGAGGCTGTGGTCTTTGCCTAGCATTGGATAAAGGACTATGAAGTTGGCAATGGGGTGTTCTAGAATTCCTGGGCAGGATGTTCTGCAGCTGGGGCATAACTATCCAAAAAGTTGCCTCCCTTGTTGATGTTGCCTGTGATGAAAGTGCTACTTGTGGAAGAACATGGTCCAAAGACCTTAGTGTTTGAGTGTAAATGCATGCTTCACTTTTTAACCCAGAGATGCCTCAGGTGGCGAACCAAAAGGTATAAAAGCAATCTCATTATAAGAAAATTGAAGAACAGTCAAAAACAGCCAATTGAAAAATAGTTTTGAGACAGACAGTGCCTATTGCAATATTAAGGAAATCAGCCAGCCAGACAAAACTAACAAACGCCTCCTGGAATATACAAGTCTTTAATCAGTAGCAAAGAACAAAGCCATTTGAGAGAGTTCCAGACAGATTTCCTTGGGTGTAACTGGTGAGAAGGCTTTCTCTCTTGTTCCATCAGCTGTATTTCTGAGGAAGGTGGGATCCTCAAAAGAGCTGCTTCAGCTGATCTGTAAGGACAAGCAGGCTCTTCTGGGAATTCCAAACTGTTTAAGGATAGCCTTCCCCAATCTCACGCTGTCTAGATATTCTTAGACTCCAGCTTCCATCAACCACAGCCAGTAGGTCAGGGAAGATGTGAATCAGAGCTGAAGATATCTGGAGGACAGCGGCTTATCAGCACCACGTTGAAATGAGCCTGGAAACAAAATGGCGGCCAGGATGACCAAATGACAAAGTAGCTACATATTCCATTGAACTGATACTGAGGGTAGGTATGGGCAAATCTCGGATAGTTTCAGTTTCTGTCAGTTTCTCATTTGACCAATCATAAATTTAGTTATCCATATTCCTACAACAGTTTGTGGCTATTAATTAAAAATGTCCTCATGAAAATTTACCAGCCTTTTTGGTGCAAATTTATTCCAATATACACATTTATGTTTGTGATTTCACCCCCTAATATCCATATCTTTGTAAAGCAGTTTCTCCTAACATAATGCAATTTTGCGTGTTGTTTTGACTCATACATATATACATTTAATGCATATTTTACCTCAATATATGCATTTTTGCACACATTACTTGACTGGAGAACTCCATTGCAAGATTCAGAGATGCCTGTGTTTTAGTTTGAGTATTGTAGTAATTAGCAAAGGTACCAGTCTCAGCTTCTTGGGGTCAATATGTGCTCAGAGGTACCCAGTACGGTAACTCTCAGACTGCATCTGCCTGGCTGAGTCATCGTTTTGCACCTAGTTGGCCTAGGTTAAGCCAGTGTAAAGTACATCAGATGCAAACTCCATTCAGGAATGGAATCGCTGCTGGCTGAGCTGGCCTAAGCCTGGCAAAGACATGAGCAGGTCAGGATGGAGTGGATCTCTGATTCAGACACCTGATTCCAGGCTCAGGTGGCATTAAGTCCCCAGCCCTGGCTCAGCTAAAGATACACCGACATAACTTGCTCATCATGGCTCAGCTGACTGAGCCAAAGCTAGCTGAGCCGAGGCCAGAGTAAAAGGGGTGTTCTGGAGGTATGGTACCAGTGAGTTCCAGGGTGGGTGGTGGGTAGGGCTTAAGCAAGATCCTTCACTTGGTCATGTGACCTGGCAACCAGGCATAGGCCACCATTTTAAAGGCAGCGTCCCTGCTGCTGAATAAAGGTTGGAGCTGGTGTAACAGTACACCAGCTGAACTTAAACCAGTTTGCTTTACGCCAGTTTCTTGTGCATGGGACACTTCTCTTGAAATAGCATTTGAGTTATACCACCCTTTTTGGAAGCTTACCTGGTGGCTGTTTCAAAACAAGTGGGAGCTGCGACAAAAGGCTGTAGTGTGGAGTCTAGCCACACTGTTTAATTTCCCATTTTCTATGTTTGAAAGAGGTGGAAGGGCTATAGCTCAGTGGAAGAGAGTCTGCTTTGCATGCAGAACATCCCAGGTTCAATTCCTGGCACTTCCTGAAACTTGGAGAGTCAGGGCAGACAATAGTGAGTTGCATGGAATGAAGGTCCTACTCAGTACAGGCAGCTTTCTATGTTTCCATCTTTCCGCAAACACAGTCAGCATGCCATGGGCACTGAGCATGCTCAGCCCTCATTGGGCTGTCCCCCCACCACATTTTTTAAAAAAACTTTTGCAAACTTCTCTGAAGCCTGCCTCTCTGTTGTACATGAGTAGTGCTGTTTTGCTATGTGAGTGACAGCACTCATTGCCCAAATGTTGGAACTAGAGGGAAGGATATAATCCTTTTGTATTTTAATTTTGTTTTTAAGTTTTAATCATTCAACTTGTTTTTATTATTGCTTGTTAGCCGCCCTGAGCCCGGCCTTGGCTGGGGAGGGCGGGGTATAAATAAAAATTATTATTATTATTATTATTACTATTACTATTTTCTCTGTGTGTGTTTTTTTAATCCCCTAACAAAATCAGTAAAATCCCAAAACAAACTGAATTACAGTACAGGGTGTCCTGACAAAATGGATTGTTTTTGTCTCTTTGGGTTTTGATGGGACTTGTAGTCCAACAACATCTGGAGGGTACCACACTGGCTATTTACCGTACCTTAAGTATTTGCCTCTTTATATTTTTCTGTCTCCTATTCCCACTTCTGTCTGAATTTCCCCCACTTCTTTTTGGCAGTCCTTATGTGAATTATATACAACTTATTTTGGAGTCTCATAATTATTTGTTCTTTCTTTCTTTCATTACAAAAGGAAGAAAGAGAATAATGTTAAGACATTTACTTAGAAGCAGGTTGGACAAGAGAAGAGAGAGGTTTTTCCCTTGCTTGGAAAGCAGCACATAATTTTTTTTAAGCTGGGTGAAAAGCAAAAACTGGCTGTCCTGCTTTGAATTAAATCAATATGCCGGTTGCTGAGTGATTGGTGTATCAGGCATGTTACCCTGAGAAGCAGGTGTAACAGCTCAGAACACTTTTTTCGTCCTCTGCAGCTTTCTCTACGCTTGGGAGTGTTTTCGTTGGCCTTTGATAAGTGCTTAAGCTTTGTCCTGGAGGTTGGAACGGTTCCACCAGTTTGTTCCGACAGGCAGAAAGTCCTTGCCCAAGACTGCCTCCCTTCGTTTCAATTGACGCCCTTGTTTGCTAAGGGCTGTCTCCGGTGCTTGTTACCCTCCAAGTAGACCCACTGAAATGGGTGATGTAGGCCTGTAAATTCTGATTGGCCTACTCTGCAAAAACTTAGTTGGCTGCAACCCAGAAGCTCCCTTGTACAGGTTAGATTCTGAGAAGCTGGCATTTCATGGGAAATGCCCATTGGTGTCTCCTTTACCTTTGCAACTCTGCATGAATTTTGCACACCCATAGCGCCGCCTAGGAGAATTTGAAAAAAATTGAACTGAGAAGAGTGAAGGATTACGGAAAGTGTTTATGTTGGCGTGTGTGTGAGTGTGAAGGGGGTAAATGCAACAATAGGGAGCTTCCTTTTCAGCTGCTGTTCTGTTAGCATTATTTTATGGGATGTAATTCTTTTATAATTGTTCTACTGATGATTTGCTAATGGTGTTATTTATTAATTATATTCATTTATATCCCACCTTTTCACCTGACTGGGACTCGAGGCAGCTCATGGAAATTAAGACAACATAGGTAAAAAGCTAAAAACACAGAGAAAAAAATCATTAATCTCAGATAGAATTAAAAACAACTCCCCCCACAAATCTACTAAAATACAGATGATGAAAACAAGAAAAACAGACAGTATTATTAAAGCGATTTCCTTTAAAAAGCAGTTAGCTCCCAAAGGCCTGTCAGAATAAAAAGTTCTTCACCTGCTGGCAGCAGGAGAACAAGGTGGGCGTCAGTCTAGCTTCTCTAAGAAGGGAGCTCCAAACTCTGAGAGCAGCCATTTGTGCTGTAACTATCGTATTCTGTTGCTGCTGTTGTTTGTAAACTGCTTTGGGATTCCCTTGGATACAGAGTGGCATAGAAATACAATCTATCAAATCGAAAGTTCTTGTTGGTTACCTTGTCTTCTCCATGCAAGGTAAGATCGGTCATGATAAGAGGTGCCCTGGTTCAATGAAAAATACTCTTATCTTGCCAATCTCTGGGGCCCAGCTGTCCCTGATATTATTATTATTATGAAAGGATTTTTTTAAAATAAAAAATTACATTAATACTAATCTCATGTGTCTTGCTCTTCCTGCAAGAACCTCAGGGTGGTGTGTGTGTGATTCTGTTTTGACAAACTTGTAAGGTAGGTTAAGTGGAGAAGCAGGGACTGTCCTGAGATTGCGTCATGGCTGAGTGGAGATTTGAACCCAGTTCTCCCTGCTCTTGACATTCCAAGCACTATCACATCTGGGTGCTGATGGAAAAAATGATAGTTATTTGTTCTCACGTATTTTTATCCCATGTCTCTTTTGATCCACTCCATAATGCTGTGCTCCATTCACATTTTCATCAGCCTGACCTACCTCAGATGGTTCTGAGGATAAACGTGGTAGTTGCGGGGGATGGGGGGACGGGACGGGACACCCCTACCCTTTCAGGAAAGGTCAGGTATAGATGCAGTAAATAATAAGCACAATAACCCCACAATTAATTTGTTTCTCATTGTTCTCACAGTTTTGGGAATGACTGCCCTGTGCCACATGCGAATTTTGTGCCGTCTTCATATTCAGTATTGATTATCTTGCTTTTCTATGAGTATGAACCCTCTCTAGCAAAAGCGGAGAACCTTTGACCCTCCAGATGTTGCTGAACCACAGCTCCCTTCATCCCTGAGCAGTGGCCATGTGTGCTGGGCCTGATGGGAGTTGGAGTTCAACAGCATCTGGAGGACCATAGCTTCCCTGCCCTTGGCTCTAGGATGCCTTTGATTAACAGCCTGGTATGTTTTGTGAGCAAAAAAAAAAAAATCCTCTCCAAACGTATGATTAGCCACTGTGCTAATGGGTGTGGCAGGGGGAAAGAGGGCAGGTTAGCTGGTTCATGGCAGGCTTGGGAGGCTGATAGAAGGTTTTGAATATTTCCTGCAGATATCTCCCCCCCCCCCCCCGATTCAGTTCATAAACTCTTAATGTTGCAGGGGAATAAAGTGGCTTTGGTAATATCCCACACCTTTGTTTTGACTCTTTTTTTCAGGTCTCCTGATGCAAAGGTGCAAATCAGGCGAAATTTGTGTTAAAATGTGAGAGAGTTCAAGAGGGCCTTAAAAATAAAAATAAATAAATAGTTGTTGAATGTGGCAAACTGAATTTAAGATTAGAAACAGGAGAATCGGAAAGGAAGTGAGATTGACAGATTCACGCATCCCTACCTTTTGCCCTTTCCACCATTTTGTAAAATGTCTGCTTGTGTCCACTCATTTGGCCTATAAATGTAGCTTTCTTTTCTTTCCTTCTTCTGTTTTTCAGGTGTAGTTTGCACGGCTTTCCTAAGGCATGCAAGGAAGTTGCTCACCAAATGAACGGAAGTGGATGGAGGCATGGCACCACCATCATTTTTTTTAAGAAAGCTGAATCCTTGGCCACCCCATCTAGGAAACTCCTTGGTTGCTATAGTGAAGAGAATGCGAAAGCATCTTGCTTCTGACAGTAGCCCAACTGCCACCATTAGGAAGCCCGCAATCAGGACATTAAGGGAATTGTCCTGTCCGGTTGATGTCTGTAGCATCTAATACTGAGATATACTGCCTCTGAAACTGGAAGTTCCTTTTTCTTTATTTATATATTTTTAACCTGCCCTTCCTCCCAAAGTAGCCCAGAGCGGTAAACACAAAAGTGATTAAACAAAAAGAAAAAACATATTAAAAAACCTCAAAAGCATTAAAAAAAATAAGTCTAAAATGATCCATGTAGCTATTGATTGATCTATCTCCTATGCCATGGAATAACGCTTAGGACAACTTTCCTTTTGCAACCTGTTGGTGTCCTTACATTTTGGACTACAACTCCCCTCAGGCCTGGCCAACATAATAATTAGGGATGTTGGCTTTTGTTGATTGCTATATATTGTCTGGTTTGGTATTTGTTTTTTTATGTTTTTAAAACCAATAAAGCATTAAAAATAATAATAATTAGGATGTTGGGAATTGTAGTCCAAATCATCTGGTGGATGTCAGGTTGGGGAACGGTGGCATAGGAGAAAAGCACTAGATGAAGAATGATTATCAGCTTTTCTCATTAAATAAGCTAGCTTAGTGTTGTGTTGTTTTGCTGTTTCTAGAAATGTCCTATAGGTGACAGAACAGCATTTGGAAGCTCAAGAGTAAAATAACTTCTTCACTGTATCCAGAATAATAAATTCTTTATTATATCTGATATAATGTAAGTTTCCCCACAGGGATCTGGGAGGCCACTGTCAGAACTAAGGGGGCCAGAAGCCTGATCTCTCCATATGAGGCTTTAATTATGGTTTTGATTCTGTCTTTAATGTATTAGTTATAATGATACCTCATCATTCCCCTGAGGAGCTTAAGGTGGTGTGCATGATTCTCTTTCTCCCCATCTTGTGCCCCACAACAACCACGGGAGGTAGGTTAGGCCCAGAGACCTTGACCCAATGAATCTTCATGGCCGAGTGGGGAATCGAACCCTGGTCTCTCAGGTCGTAGTCTAGCACTCTAGCTATTACAGCACCACACTGGATCTCGTTAGAGAGGGGAAAAAATGGCTTAGATTTTTCTGCCCAGGTTTGTTTGGGGAACTTCCAAATGAAAGCAGAACACAGAAGCCGCTGTTTTCCCTATCTGCGTCTACATCTAAAGTGCCGCCTTGATTACACTTTAGAGCACAATCCATCTTCAGAGGTGAATTTATAGAGAATCTTTATGAGGAAGAACAGCCATTGATTTGTTCTGAGCTTGCGGACGAAGCCAAGAGCCGACTCTTCGATTGGCTAAAATTTACTTAACTCCGTTAGCATTTTTAAGACGGGAGGCTTGTTTTACGCGGGACGGACTTCCTGCACAACTAGGAGCGGTGAGTGATGTTGACGGCAGAGGCAGAAGCGCCTGCTAAGTGTTTAAATGATGACACCATTATGTGAAGTGATTTTTGAAATGAGAAGATTTCGGCCCAGAATTACCGCGGCTCTCTCATCTCCTTTTCAAATCTTTACTTTGCCGGCTACGCGGATGATGATTGATTTGTTTGTGACAGATTGCAGGAAACAGCCATTGATTTTTCAATATTTTTACCTTAAAATTATTTACAGTTGTAACCATGGGGATGTATTTCCATGGGCTGTTGGCTTCTGAAAGACGAGGGATAATATTCCCTGGTCCCTGACAAGACAAATTACCTGTAATGAGTTCAGTAGCTGAAGGGTATGCTTTTATTTTAAAATATGTCAATAACCTCAGTGACTAAACGAATATTGATTCAGCATAATGAAGCCTGAGTAATGTGAAAATGAGCTCTTCAGGGGTAGGCAAAGGGGGAAGGCTATCCCCCTCCTTTTTCTTTCCCTTGCTTACAGCAATGACGCTTTTCATTCTTTATGGCTAGCTGTCGAAAAATATGCAGCGTTATAAACAAGTCACTGGCTGTTAAACAATAGAGGGAATAAACGGAGACTCTGGACCCCAAAGGCTGGTATGCGCAATGCATTTCTAAGATAGCAAGAACAGTCTCGGAAGTCGGTTCTCTGTCTTAGAGCAACGCTCTGCATATGGAAGTTTCAACCAAAATTGCATTCGCCACACAAAACCTGAAATGCTAGGGACTCATTAAGATCTGTTCTTCAGGGTGAATATTTGGGCAAAATTTAGTCTGTGTGTCCAGGAAAGAGAGGGAAGTGTAGAAGTCCAAAAACAGCTTCTCCAAGTTGCCGTTTTCTCCTCCTGCCACCCTGTTTTGTGGTTAAAGTGTTGGACTAGGACTTGGGAGACCAAGTTTGAATCCCTACTTGGCCATGAAGCTTGGGGCAGTTACTGCCTCTCAGCCTAACCTACCTCACAGGGTGGTTGTGGGGATTAAAATGAGGAAGGGGGAGAACCATGCACGTCACCTTTTACTCCTTGGAGAAAAAGGCTGGAGAGCAATGCAATTAATAAAACAATGAAACAATAAACTAGTCTCAGCAGGTGCTGGTAGGTAGCTGTAGTGCTTTGTCCCCACTTCTCCTGCCCTGCCCATCAGAACCCTGCATATGCCATGCAGATGGTGCTGGACTCCAGTCCTCCCTCATCCTCAGTCAGCATGGCCAAATGTGATGGAAACAGTACAATCCACCAACATCTGGAGGGCTACGAATCCTCCATCCCTGCCCAGCAACAACAACAACCACCACCCTGTGAAGGTCATTATTTCTATCTCCATTATACAGGTGGAAGCTGGAGGCTGGCACATGGTGGTTTACCAAGGCAACCTTCCTCAGTTTGCAGGAAGTCTCAGTTTCAGTCACCTGCATCTTCCGGTCAGGTTGGACATGTCCTTTGTCTGAATCCCTGTTGGGGCCACTGGCAGCCCATGCAGACAATGTCAGTCAAGATGGCCTGATGTAGCATAAGGCAGCTTCCTCCGTTGCTAAAGATACTGCATCAAGTGCCATGGATTTCTGCTTTGTATTGTACGCTCAGGTGCTTATTAAACACTGGTCCATAAAAATAATCTGTCAGCTGCTCATTTAAGATGTCCCCCCCTTTTTCATCACGTGTCCAATCCAGTTTTGCTTCCATAACATTGGCATTTTATTTTTCAAAAATCAACCTTTGATGGTTATATTCCCCTTCCTGCCCAGCAGTTATTAGAAAGAAAAAGATTCCTTAATAATATAAGCTGCCTCTAGTTTCTTCTCTCTCTCCTTCCAAAATGAATTCTCTTTTTATTTGTCATGTAGGAAAGGCTCCTATATCTATGGGCTGGTGACAACAGCTGGTGCCACAGACTTCGTACATAATTCAAAAATAGTGGAAGCATTTCCCCTTCTCCTCTGCTTTATTTTCTGTGTGCACACATTTCATTTCCAGTGTGGTTCCGTTTGCCTTCATTTGATCTGATCGCTGCTTTGACCTGTCATATTTTATCTTGGTGTCCTTTAGAAGGACCATATGCCACTTCCCTTAGTTACCTTGTGTGGTAGAAAAGGGGAAGTAAATTATTCCTGAGAAATTGCTGCCAGGCTTTCCTCTTCAGTGTGTGGAGCTCTAAAAGGCTACGGGCACCCATTCACCCAGGTTCAACCCTTGAGCATTAAATGGTTGTGCATAGGTGTTGTGGGACTCCTGGAGATGCACCCGACGGATTTGTGTTGTTCCCTCCCAGACTCATCTGCCATAAGCCCAAGCATTCAAGATGGGAAAGTCCCAAGGGAATAAATGGGGATACAGCTTAAGGAAGAATTATGGTTTGTACTGATCTCAGTATTTGAAAGGAGCTCTGTTAGATCCATTTTGCACTGCACCATAGGCACTAGGGTGTTTGCAGTTGAAAAAACCTGTAAAGTAAGAAGGAGCAGAACAAACTCTTAAAATCCTGATGGATGTGCACAAAGAAGTTATGATATCTGGAGATATCCCCACTTTCTACAGATGCCTTTCTCCCCTTTGAACTTGATCTCCTTTCTTCTAAAAGCACCAGTCAGATGTTGTAACGGAAATCCTGTGTTTTACGAGAACCCTTGAGCTTGCCAATCAGAAGGTCAGCTCTTCGAATCCCCGTGACGGGGTGAGCTCCCGTTGCTCGGTCCCAGCTCCTGCCAACCTAGCAGTTCAAAAGCACATCAAAGTGCAAGTAGATAAATAGGTACCATTCTGGCGGGAAGGTAAATGGTGTTTCTGTGCGCTGCTCTGGTTTGCCAGAAGCAGTTTAGTCATGCTGGCCACATGACCCGGAAAAACTGTCTGTGGACAAACGTCGGCTCCCTTGGCCAGTAAAGTGAGATTAGCGCCACAACCCCAGAGTCGTTCGTGACTGGACTTAACTGTCAGGGGTCCTTTACCTTTTTTAAATAACATCAGTGGCCCATCTAGTACAGCATCCTGTTCTTATAGTGGCCAACCACATCCCTGTGGGAAACTCTCAAGCAGGATTTGACCACAAGAGCACTCTCACCTCCTGTGGTTTCCAGCAACCCATATTCAGAAGCATTGCTGCCTTCCAACTGTGGAGGCAGAGCATAGACATCATGGCTAGTACCTATCAATAGCCCTCTCCTCCATGAATTTGTCTAATCCTCTCTTAAAACCACCTAGGTTGATGGCCTCCTGTGGGGGTGAGGTCCACTGTTTTATTTGCTGCATAAAGAAGGACATTTTCTGTCCTAGGTCTTCTAACACTCAGCTTCATAGGATCTTTCTGAGTTCTGGTGTTATGAGAGAGGGTGAATACCTTTTCTCTGTCCGCTTTCTCCCTGCCATAGGAGCCAACTCCTAGGGGCCGAGGACCCTTCAGCCCCCCCTAAAATATTTGAGGGGGCTGTCCTGCCAAAGTTGATGGGAATTGCCATTCAAATGGTGTGTGCCCCACTTCTTGTGATCAATTATAATGGGGCGGGGTTTACCTACCTGCCCCTCCCCCCAATATTTTATTCAGGTTGGCACCCCTGCATAATTTTATAAACATCTGT